TTGATCTTCCCTGGTTTCCAATGCCGCCACTTGTTGGCCACTGCCAGGACATCCGGGGCCTCAATCGATCCGGAGAGGATCCACTCCTCGCGGTCCCGGATGGCCTGCTCCGTTTCCAGTGGAGAATAGGTGTGCGATTGTCTGGCTCCTGCCGCACGAAACAGAAGTTGTTGCAGGGTCTTAGTAGCGAGCTCCAAATCCGCCTCCTCCAGCGGTTGTGGTTGGGAGCCGAGTATCCTTGCGAGGATCAAGTTGTAGGTGTCCGAGGCCACCAGGACATGGTTGCCGTCAGGTGCCAGCCCCACGATTCGTGTCCACGGTCGCGGGTCAAAGACCACCGCATCCGGGTTGGCAACCTGGTCCTTTTTGACCCATTCCAGGCAGCACGCCACGAGGATTTCCCCGTCCGACTGCACTGGTGCAAATCCAAGGTCATGCAAAATCAACTGGAACGCGGTTGGTACCCCAAGGAAGGTCGTTCCAAACGGGGAAGGGAGGCGGGGCCTCCACATCATCGTGATCCACTCGAGCCAGGAGCCTAATTCCTAGGCGCAAACCCCAACCAAACAACAGGGGAGCCCCCAAAACCCCGGAAAGCCCATCCCGAAACGGGGGAAAAGGGGGGGGGGGGACCCAGGGAGCCGCCCCGGAAAGGGAAGAACCAAACAAGGGAGGGGAGCCAAGGCGCACCCCGGACCAGCCCAAGCGCGCCAATTTTTCTCGCCTGGTACAGGTCTAGGCCTGTGCTGTGCCCAGGGGGGGATATCAGCGCCCTCGGCAGCTGTCCCCCCCGGGGTGCGCTGCGAATCCGTTCCGGATGGCCGCAGTGCTGTATGATCATACGGCCCCCTTTGCAATGTCGTCAATGCGCTTGAGCGCCGCCGCCTCCGGATTCCGGAGAATCAGCTCCCAGATGGCGTTTGAAACATGGCCGGTCTGGGTGATGTGGCTGAACCTAAACCGGGGGACTTTCTGGTCCACCACGGAGACATCCCGCAGCGGGGCAGAGGGCTCTACCCGGCGGTAGAACTCCAACCGCTCCTTGACCCAGCGGTTGTACAGGCCATCCGGCGGCTCGTCCAGCACCAGCTGAAGGATGGCCTTGCCGGCCCGGATCTGGAGGAGGCGGGTGCCCCCTCCCCCGGCGCGCCAGTACCCCTTGCAGTACTTGCACATGTAGCCCCCCCGGGTCTCCCCTTTTGTCTTCGGGATGAGTTCCCACGGGGTGACGGAGCTCAGGACCAGGCCACACTCCATGTGCGCCCAGAAGACATGCTTCGTCTCCGCCGGATAGTTCTTCTTCCGGTAGTCCTTGCCACCACGCCGTGGACGTTGTCCGATGTGATGGGGGGGTAAACGATCCCCTCATCGCCCTCTCCTCCCCTGGGGCGGATGTCAGGGCCATCGGCACCTGTCCGGCACCCAGGGGCGGAGGGGTCAAGGCCCATCAGCTTGATCATGTCGTTGGTGTAGCCGAGCTTGCGGTAGATGGAGGGGGCTACTGAGTCGGGGACTGCGCCGACCCACCACTGCTTCGTGTTGCAGCGCCAATTGACCTTCACCTCCGCCAGGGCCCCCGGGCCTCCAATGCGGTCCATGAGGGCCTTGTACACCTCTGAGAACTGCTGGAGACTCTCCACCGGGACAGATATGCGCTCATCACATACCGCCCGGAGGATCATCTGTTCCTTGGAGTCCGCCACGTCCTGGACCGGGAGCTGCATCACCTCCGCCGGGGTGAAGGCCCGGGCCGCGAGGATATTGCCCATGGCCCGGTAGACCAACCGCCACTCCGGTCCTGTCTGCGGAAACGGAAGGCCCTCCTCCTTCAGGAAGCACCGCGCGTCTTCCTTCAGGGTCTCCCAGCCCTCCAGGCGGATCTGATTCTGGGCCTTGTTCTTCGGGCCCCGCTGCCTAGGGCCCTGTAGCAGTGGCAGGGACTCCCAGACTCCCCAGAGCTGGCGCAGGGTGAAGCTGTGACCAAACATCCCCAGTAAGCCTGGAAGTGTCCAGGACGAGATCTGGCGCGCCCAGTGGAAGTCCTCATCCGGATCGTGGGGGGCCGCCCAGAAGATGGAACGCAGGTCCTCGGGGTAGGGTCGGTCCCCCGCCTTAGCCTGCTGGTTCAACTCATCAACGGAGTACCTGGCCCATGGGAGTCCACCCACCTGGTGGTTCCTGGGATGCGTACCCCTCTCCAGCGCCTCCGGATTCACCTTGGTGAGGTTGTTGGCCCAGTCCGGGACGTGTACGGGGCCCGGTCGTCGGACCCAGCGGCCCGCAAAGATACGGACCTCTCCGACCCGTTTGCTCATCATCCAGCGCAGGACCGCGAGCTGCACCTCCGGGTCCTGGGTATCCAGGCCCCCTGGGGTGGCAGACGGCTTGTCAGGGCCCTCGGCACCTGAGCTCGTCGCGCCAGAGCCCGAGGCTGGGGGGATGGTGGGCTGCCTGTCAGGGCCCTCGGCACCTGGGCGCGCCGCACCTTTGGAATGGGGATCCCCGCCAGATCCGGCAGATCTGCCAGGAGGGCCGCCGGAAAGGGGTTCCTACCCAGCGAGATGACCGCCTTGGCTTCGAGGTAAGAGTCCGTGAGGGACGTGAGGTCGTCCATGCTGAAATCCCTCCATGCCGTGGTCGGCTCAAAGACCCCCGTCTCAATGGCAACTCGGACCTCGTTAGGCCACGCACTGAATGGAGGCTTGATGGGCTCGAGCATTCTGGTCTCGTGGGCGCCCTTCGCTTGTCTGGCCTGGTGCTTTGCCTTCGCCTCCTCCGCAGTGGTCTGGGCCTGGAGGAGCTCCGGTGTGGGCCTCCCCCAGTCCGCGCCCAGCTTATCCAGCAGTTTTTCGCGGAAAAGGTCCAAGTCCAAATTCTTGAGGAGTAGGCCCCCATCGCCTCCTCCATCAATGGCCCCTCCTTGAAGCTCGTGGAGGACCGCCGCGGATCGCTCCACCGCTGCCACCTGGTCTGCCTTCTTGGCCTCCTCCTGGGCAATGGTGGTGGCGTTGAGCCGGGTCTGGATTTTGAAAGCCTTCACCGCCGACGGGTGGAAGGCCCTGCATTCCTGGCCCTCTTCCTTGTCGCCCGGCAATGGAGGCCTCTCCCCCATTGGGGCCGTCAGGAAATCCTCGTCCAGCTCCATGGGGCAGTTCCTGATCACCGCCCGGACCGAGGAGGGGACAAAGTCCGAGAAGCTGGCCTGGTCCGGGTTCTCGCATGCCATCGGGTCGGTGGCCAGCTCGCTGACATCCACCGAGGCGCTGAGCTTGAGGTCGCGGGCCCGGTCCGTATCAGGGCCATCGGCACCTGCGGACCGGGCCGCCGTCCAGACCGCATTGCCCTGGTCATCCACCGTCAACTGCCAGTGCGTGCCCGCCATCTCCAGGGTGGCCGAGTTGGTCGCCATGTCAATGGGCTCCGTCTTCTTGCCGCACCCCATACACTTCCTGGCGCCCTTCTTCACCCAGGGCATGGTGCAGCAGGGGCAGATCCAGGATGTGGGCTCCTTACCCAGGGGGCGGTTCTCCAGGCCCCCATACCCCAGGCCAGCGCGCTTGCCGACCTGCTGTCCCGGGGTGCTGAGCCGGGCCTCATGCTCATACTTCATCTTGGCGATGTAGAACGCCTCCACCACACGCTCCAGGCCCCCCTGCTTGAGTTGGGGGCCCTCAAAGCCTCTCAGGAGCCGCTGGAAGTCGGCGGAGCCTAGTGGCCGTGGTCGCATCAAAACACGGGAAGTCGCCCGCCATCTGGTCATCGCTGAATTGGTAAAGGCCCTCAGAGACTTTGAGGGCCTTGGTGAAGACGCTTCCCCCCGGCGGGGGGGCTGCGGGGTCCTCATCCTCCTCCGAGGACGCCTGCTCCCTGACCTTCGCCATCAGATCACGGCGTCTCTGCCACTTGGTGTCGGACATCGGGAGCTCCTCCTCGTCTTCCGCCAGGAGTTCCTCCATGGGAACATCCTTCTCCGGCGGGTTTAGGAGCTCCAGGAACGCCCCTAGAGGGCGTGTCAGGGCCTTCGGCACCTGCGCCACCCCAGGGCTGAGTCTGCCATCAGCTCGTCCTCTGCCTTGCGCTTGGCTGGGATGAGTGGGGCCTGCTCCAGCTCATCGGCGCTGGAGAAGAACCGCTCGTCAGGTGCCTGAGGGACCTCAGCAGCCAAGACGGTCCATCCTTCTTCCTCCTTCTTCACGAGGCTTGCCAGGTACTTCGCCATGGAGGCCTTTGCCTTCGCCTTGGCCTCTGCAACCGCGGCACCAGCGTAGGCGGGGGCGTACATGGCTTTGATAGGAGGGGAAAGAAAGATTTCAGATTACAAGACAGAAGGTCAGAGTCCACTTGAGCCAAAATGGTGGCCCAAGTGGACACTTATGAAGAGTCAAGACAAGCGACCACCTGCGGTTAACGCTTTAGCCCATAATTCGGCTGAGACGAAGAATGACCCTCGGCATCGCTGTCGCGTGAGCCGCTTCCGGAGCCTTTGCTCAAGCTCCGTCTGACCCTCGCAGCACCAGCTGCAATTCGGCGCCCGCCGGCGCGTCCGAGGCGATGGCTTCCATACGCCGGTTGATCGGCCGGAGCATCAGGATGAACTTCCAGCTGCGCCGCTCCACGGGCGTTTTGAACTTGCAGCTCATCCGCTGAAAGTAAATCTTGACATCGGTCTTGGACGCCCAGTTTTGGTGACGGCTTTTTGGGAGAGGTCCATCATGAAGACAGAATCGTAGTACTTCTTGTACCCGCACGGGTGTGGCTCCAAAAAACGCGAAGTGGCGAAATTCGTTGAAGCCGAGAGCAAGAGAGGGAGGCACCAACAGCGTTGTGGTGAGTGGCAAGAGAATTCATGAGGCAAGAGAGTCAACAATTATTGGAGCCACCCCCCCAAGTGCCAAGCGTTCCCCACACAAAATTCGGGATGTTGTTGAACCCCCCCTTCCATCACTCCCGCCCGATGCGTCGCTCCACCCCCTGCCCCGTCGCCCCGTCAGGTGCCGCGCCTGCACTTTGCCCTGGAAGCTGGTGGTGTACTCGAAGCGCGCGTTGATCCTCTCCCCCGCCGCCAGGGCAGTCTGCGGAGGGCTGCGGGAAGAGTAAGCCAACACCAGGTACACACGAATGGGGCTACATGGCTGTGGGTCAAAACCAATGGGATTCCATTTTGGGGGATTTGTGCACCACCCATTTTAGGCTTTATTTCAGTACGGATTGGGATGTTTGCTGGGGGTATGGGATTTTGACCCATGGCCACATGGCTGCGGGTCAAAATTGAGGTAACCCCAAAACGGCTTGCCCCGGTACATGGAAACAAGGACACCAATTCCTGCGGTCCATGTCATGGGGGTGAAAAATTCTGACCCATACATGGCTAGGAACCCTGCCCAGGTTTACAGAGGGCATCTTTTGGGGTGAACTGGCAGAGGTATGGATTGATATTCTTTTGCGGTAGAAATACGCGCTTGGTTCCTCTGAAGGTGGGAAATGCCCCTTGTTTTTGTGGCGAGTCCCCCATGTCCGTCACAAGTGCACCAAAGACTGGATACTGTCTGGATTCTTTGACCAAACCTCACTCCACCAATGGCCCTTGCGTAAGTGTATAATTATAAGAGCCGTGAAAGATATCTTTAGATCTGGACACAAACTCGTGGCACTCACAGACTGACCTTATGAAAGCAACCTTTAGTATGGGCGTCATCCCAACCCCCCCGAACGTGGCGTCGCTGCAATTCATCATTTGACCTTTTGGCCTAGCCATTTCTCCCACAACCCCAAAGACATCCCACCCCTTCCAGAAATCGAGGCCTCAGAAACTTACCAAGGCCTTGCAAAGGGGACCCACGCGTTGTTGTTGTTTTTTTGCTGGGGCGGCTTGGAGTTTCCAGGCTGTCTGAGCGTGAAGGGACCCCTCATTTAGGGGGGGCTTCTACACCAATGCAGGAAAACCCGCTGTAGCAGGCCAAAGACTCACCAGCCAAGAGCCGCAAGGAACCTTCTGCCCCGGGTTCCAAGAGGCTTTGCCATGAGTTTGATACGCCAAAGGACATGGACAAAATAGGCGTCCCACCCAATGTTGCTGTGGGGAATTCGGGGTGCGTTCATGTCAATGCCAAACTTACAGGGCACTTGCTGGCCATTTGAGGTCCAAAAAGGGTTTGCCTGTTGAGTTGCTGCTTTGAAAGAACGAATCAAGGGGCACGGTCCAAAATTTGAAGCCTTTTTATTTTATCCCTCACATGAGGTCAGTGTCCCCAACTGACAAAGGAGCTCGGGCCTTGCTTGTAGCGCTATGTTCGCTCTGTGTTCTGCTTCTCTCATATCAACATAGGTGACACGGACAAAGTGAGAACTGACCAAACAGGGTTGACCCCAACAGGAAAAATAGAAAAACCCACCATGGTCAAACCTACCTCAATAGGAAACCCTGAAAGAAGTGCTTCCAGTGCCCCACGCAAGGCTCATGTCAGTGGAGCATCTTACCTTGAAGCATCGCTGAAGCCATAAAAAAGCCCTCCACATATTCCTACAACCCTGATAACATAGACACAAGCAAGGTGAACTCATACATTCAGAAGCGCTTCAAATGCTCAGCCTTGCGTCGTCCATGGAGCATCTACCTTGGAACTTGGAACATCCTTCAAGCGACAAAACCTCGCAGTTTTTTGCCTCAAGGGAACCAAACAAGTGAGCAAAAACGGGGCAGACTTGGACCTAGCCCTTAACCTGAGGGTCGGATGTTTGCCCAAGTCGAAAACCTAAAGGCCCACCCCAAACAAACCCCACACTGCCCCTAAGCCAACCAGAAACGCATTCTAAACTTCCATTCCTAAAAACAACCCAAACCCCCCCCCCCCCAAACCCCCAAACCGTCCGGCAGCCCGCAGCCCGAACCCAACGAACCGCGGGACAAGCGCCTTGACGCCGTCCTCGTCCCCCTCCAGCGCCGCCTCGTGCAGGCGCGTGCCCGTGCACACCCGGTCGTTCCACCTGGCGAACGAACCGCGCCCGAAAAAAATGAGCCACGGGGGCTGGGATTTGGGGGTGGTCCAGGGCTGGTTTACGGTTGGTTTCGGGTTGGGCCTCAAACCCACCTCTAAACCCATCCTAAATCCCAGCCACAGTCTTGACCATCAAGAGTTGGTTTGAGATAACTGTTGGATTTAGGATGGGTCTGGAGGTGGGTTTGAGCTAAGTTTAGGGTTGGTGGGTGTGGACTAGGTGAGGTTCCATATGCGAGCATTAAATTTGGTCCAAGTGGGTGTATCTCTCGAAATCGAGCTCTGTGAGAGAGTGGTTTCGTTTCATACTGAGGCAAGTTGCTAACAACAAGCTTCAAATTTGCCATCTCACCAAGAAAGGGGGGGTCTGCAAAAAGAGTTGCGGCCCGTTGACTGGCGCAGAGTGTATTTTCTGTCATCCACTTTCCGACAATGTCCAAACGCACCCCTTGGAAGCTGTTTTACACAAGTGCTTCTGAGCTTCGTCTGCACTCGCAGGGCTCTTGTTGTAGAGAAGGTGCTCTTGACTGTGCTGACCTTCTCAGCATCCCCCACTATGCCGGTGTCATCCGCATAGGCCAACTCTTCTGTGCAAGGTCTCATGCGTCATCCACCCAAATGGCCCTTCCGGCCCGAAACAGCTCCCATGGCATGGTGATATACGTTGAAGAGAAGGGGTGACGACGGACACCCCTCCCGCAGGCCACGATCCGCAAAGGCTGAAATGTGCGGGTCCGGCGTATCGCATCTTTGCACGAGTGCCTGAGTGCCCTGGTCCTAGGTGTCCATTTGAACAAAAAACACCACTATGACTATGTTGGCGGCTTTCCTCTTGGTTGACCACCAAGTAAAGAACGCCCTCGAGAAACATAGCCTAATATCAAAAAAGGACCGATATTAAAAGGGTTCAACCAAACATACTTACAAAGAATCAAAAGGGTGCGGTTTTGGCTGGGACGGTCTCCATCTAGAGTGCCGCGCCCTTCGATTCGCTGCAACCACCTGGAAGGGGTAACAAAATAGCAACCGGCCATGGGCACCGTAGGGTCCGGTTGGCACCTTCGGAGTTGGTTGACTCGTGATTGCCAGGGTGAACCATGGGATCCACGTTAAACGATACGTGGGAATCAACTCGCCTCTTGGGGATGAACTGAGGAAACCCTTGATTAGTAATTTGGATTGGTGATTTGGGGGGTTGAACCCATGGCATAAGGGGGAAGATGAGTTGCCCGACATAGAAGCCATCCAACCTGCTTCCCAAGTTTTCAAGGCGAAAGGAATAACAGAAGGAAATCCCAACTAGAATCAAAAGCAACCCGAAGAGCAAAACCTGAAGGACCTAAGGGAAAACCGAAAGGAAAAGCCAGAGGAAGAACCAAACGGTGCAATCAATCAACTCTGTTTCCTTTTGGTTTCCCTTGAATCCAACTCCCAAAAAGCTTACCAGCTCCCAAAAAAGCGCGCAACACGGGTATGTCAGTCAAACGCTGCTCCCTTTTTGCAAGGCCCGGCCTGAACTGCGTCTGTCCCGAAGAAGCCTCGGCCGCTTCTTCGGGAAGGACCGGGCACGGCACTAATAACCCCCCCCCTCGCACCCGTCCACCTTTTTAGCTTTTGGCCCCAACCAAACAAAACCAATGAAGTTGATCCTGGTCCAGATGTAGGAAACCTGAACATGTAAAATACATCCATATTTGCGAGACATCTTCAGTTTCCCTCACTTTCTAGGCACATCGCACTTCTTGACTCGTTGACCCCTCACTCGTACCCCACGAGATCTCTGGGCTTCTGGGCTTCCATCCGCCCATAGCTCGAAGAAATACAGGATTTATTAAGGAGGCGACCCAGTTCTCAATGGAAGTGATTTGGGAAACGACTTATGGCGTTTCAAGGGCCTTTTCAAGCGGATGGCGTCTTTCAAGCCCCCACTTCAATGATTGTAAGGCCATTGAAAGTTACAATCCAACTCCTCATGCGCTCCCTCCACTTATTTCTCTCACAGGAAACGATGTCTGGGATCTATGCCGAGTCTCTCCAAAGGTCTGGGACTTCTGATGCAGTCAAGGGATTTGGAAAGCTACCCTCTCTTTGGACTATTTTTTTTTCTGAAGACCATCTCTCTTGTTTTCATGTCAACGAGTCAACGTGGACAGGAGGCCACTTTGTCCTGATTTGTGGGGAGGTGTGCTCCTCTGCAACAGGAATCGAGCCCCCAAAAAGCAGATCCCTCTAGAAAAGGCTATCATTTGTGTTCCAGAACTATGCCGCCTGCCCTATCTGCGCAGCAACTCCGAGCATGCTTCTGCCAGACTTGCTACATGGTCATGCCTCCAAATCAAGAACCCCCCCTTTGCCAAAAAGGAGGGGAGCCTCAAAAGAAAACGACCTGTTTGGCAATGCATCAGGGCATGGACCCTTCGAGGGCAGACTATCATGAAACCATCTGGAGGGGAGTACTGTTGTTTATGTTGCTTCCACGTGAGCAACTGCCAAGTGTTTCCACAACAAGCCGATAGGGAAGTACCATAAACCTATCCCAAGCGGCAACAATAAAACAGAAAAAACACAATCCAAACTCTCGCCCGTCGTTCGTAGAAGTAACTGACACTATCACTCACAAGACTCGTCCGCGCTGAATCAAGTCATATAAGGACATCCTATGCATGTTCGTGTGTCTCAAAGAAGGAGAGGATCCTCTTTCTCCGGATGTTAAAAAGCAAGACAAAAGGAAACCAACAAAATCAAACAGGTGTGTCCACACTGGCCTGTAAGTTTTGTGTTTTCCTTCAAAGACAATCCAAACGGGTGTTTTACCATCCTCCACTGTTTGGGTAATTTTGTCGAACGCGAATCCAAACGGGCATGCTTTCGTGGATAATGCACATGGGGTGTATGTCCACCAAGCATTTTGAAGGCTGAATGAGCTCGCGCGGCTTACGCGGAACCGGAGGCCCAACTCCGAAAAAAACTTGCGGAAGAAAACAACCAAAAGTGACCCCAAATACAAGGGGGCCTCACCCCGCTAACCCTCACTCGTCCAAAGTCAGCTCGAAACTCTGGGCTACCAGACAGCCACTTCGTGCCTGAGCCGGGAAAATACGATTGTGCGGACGGCCAAAACCCTCGACTTTTGGGGTTGGGTGTTTGTGTGTGTTTTCGAGTCGCCAAGTTAGTAAGCTGCTGGTGGCCACGGGTAGCCTCGATCATAACCCACCTATAAGTTTGTTCGTTCAGTGAGGTTGACCTTGTTGTTAGAGGGTTACAACCTAAGTGGCTAACCACTCACTAACTTGGCCGAGCATCCAGGTACTCTTTTCAGGCCATTCCACGGAAGCTTCTAAAGGTGTCCGCTTTTGGTCAATGTTCGACCTCCAAAAGGGTTCCCTTTGGGTTCCTCCGCTGCCAATATTGACTCCCTCAGCAAGACACATATCGACAGCCAGCCAAAACCTCGGCGAACAAGAAGCTGTCATTCAGCGGGGGCCAGAAGAAAGACATCTCCCTAAAACAAGGAAGACCAAACTACCAGGGCAATCGATCAGGGTGCAAAATGACTTGAAACAAGAGAAGTGCAAAAGGGGAGAGTGAGTCCTAAACCCCGTTGTGGGCAGGCTTCAACGATGTCCCTTTGACACATCACTCCGTCCAAGGGAACTCATTTCAAAATCAGAAAATATAGGCACCCCGAAAGGACGAAGCAAATAGGTGACCTCAACTCCCCTCTTCATTTCGGTGTCAAAAGTAGGAAGTGAGTCGTAGTCCAAGATTGGTATACATGGCAGAGACCCAAACATAGGGCGCATATTCGCAGCAAATTTCTGGTTGGGACTGTCCTCTAACATCTGTTCCCTTGGAGAGGCCGGGGAGAAACAAACTTCCCCGAGAGTCGGGGCCCAAGGTTGCGGTCCCCGCACAGATCACTGCACTTCCTGAAGGCTGCGACTGTCTGGTGGGTTCCAATGCTTCACTGCTGAGGCGACTCAGGCCGTGGTTGGGGCTAAGGTGCGGCTGGCTTCGGCTGCCGGTGTTTTGGCAGCCGGTGACGTAGGGGGCACTCTGTTTGGGGCGCGCAAGCGTTTCAATCCGCAGCACCACGTATGGCCAGGAGCACGCCGTGCTTCTTGTAGTAGGTCCATGTTGTCACAGTCAAAAGTCCACGTGAGACTGCTCACCATTCACAAGCCTGACGGGCCTGACGGGCCTGACGGGCCTGCCCCTAACGGCTTCACGGGCTTCACGGGCTTCACGGGCTTCACGGGCTTCACGGGTTTGATGGGCCCGATGAGCCTCGCGAGTGTGACGGGCCCAACCTAACGGATTAAGGGGCTCGACAGGCTTGACAAGACGGGCTTTGCCGGAAAGATAGGTCGATAGAAAAATAGATTGGTAGGACGATAGACAGAGTGATAGGTATCTTTACAGAGATTTAGAGAGATAGGAGAAAGGCACAAATGCGTAGATGGACAGACGGATGAATACATGCACAGAGAGGTGCATGAATGAAAAGCAGGCAAATGGATAGATAAACGAATGAAAAGGGCCACCGGGGCAGGTACATGGGTAGGCAGGGACACACTCGCGCAACGATAGACATACGAATATGGCAACGAACATCCAGGTACTCATTTGCGGGCCCTTCCACAGAAGCCTTCCAAAGATGTCCGTGTCTGGGCTGCCCGTTTTCGGATCCCCCGCTAAAAGTTTAAGCTTTAGTGGGTTAAATGGAAACCATGGCGAAAAAGCTAAGGAACCGGATGGCTGGGAGCCAAGGTTTTCGGTCAGTGTTCAACCTCCAACAGGGTTCCCTTTGCGTTCCTCCGCTGCCAACGTTTTCCAGAACTTCTGGGCGTCCGCACTCCCCTTCCAGCAACAACGGCCGCGACTCCGCGCGGGACTGGGTGGTACCTGACAACCACATAGCTCTAGATGTCCTGAGGACCGGAGTTGCGAATGGTGTTCAAAGAAAAACCAAAAGGAACAAAGCCAGGACGAATTGGGGTACCCGATTTGTTGAGGAGAACAAAGCTGTCGGCCTTCTTTTACTCCCACCAACCATCATATATTTGCCCCGTATTGTTTGAACCTCGAAATGAGAAATGCCAAAAGAGATCCCATGTGACAATGTGGGTGTCGCTTTTTGAGGGCACTCCTTTTTGTGGAGAATGAAAAAAGGAAAACCACCATTTTGAAAAGGTGTCCTAAAGAAAGACACCCATTTCTTGAGGGCATTGGATGTTTAGGGGGCTTGGGCAGGGGATGGCCACATTCCTGGTCAGAAAATGCTCATGTTACATGTTTCGGTTGGTTCCCACCATGAGCATCAGCAAAAACTCAACTGATCTAAACATGGCGTATCGGTTGTCGCTCTTTGGTGCCAGTGAGAACCAATGGCCTGACCTTCCCCGAGAGCCGGTGCCAACTTGTGAGCTTCGGAACCAAGCAGCTTCAACGCTTTGGGAACAGAACTGGGGCTTCTCCTGGTTGCATATGCAAGCAAGCCAGCCAGGCAAACAGCCAGCCAGCAAGCAAGCAAGCAAGCTAGCAAGCAAGCAAGTTCCAGGTTCGGCCAATTATATCCAGGTTGGGTACTGCGCGGGGTTGCATGTTTACGCATACTTGGTGGGGCAGTAGCTTTGCAATGCTGGCCTGTGATTCATACCCCCATTGCGCATGGCATGAGGCCTGGGGGTTGGGTGGTGGGATGCAGTGAGTTCTCTAACTCTTGGAACTTGGTGAAACGGTGCAAAGAGAGGCCACAGGCAACATGTGTGAGAGCTGTCCGAAATTTGTGGTTTAGCTTTCATATCCTCTGGGGCAAGTATCGATGTTTGGCGGGCCCGGTCGTGCTAGAGGGAAGGACAACGTTGAGCCACATTCATTGCTTTCTCTGCAATAGCAGCTAGCAGGCTATGCTGGCAGAACAGTAGGCTTGGTGCGGCACACAAGGACAGGATTATTGGAGTGACATTCAGGCAAGTGGTTTTCCGAGGGCCCCGGGCAACGGATGTACATGCCTGGGATGACTTTATACAAACCCTTATGCAGAAAAGCACCAGCTTACCCGCCAAACTACAGATGGTTGGAAGAGTACGGTGGAATTCCCGCACATACAGCATGTAGGGAAGAGCGAAAACTGTCATTTATCATGGCTTGTGGTCTCCCCACACCACAAGACCAAGCAGCTAAGAGAACAAGCTCCCGTCATGGCGCTCCAACATAACGGGGGAATCATCCAACAGCTCGTCCCTTTGGCTTATAGGCATTTCATATACACAAGGCATGGCCATTTGTTTGCGTTGTAACCCAAACCCAGGTCCCACGCCCTCAAAAAGACCAAAACTTAGTTTGCCCACGCTCTCCTGGCGAACAAAAACAAAGGTATGGTCACATTTCGACAATCCGGGAGGCAGTGCTTCACTGCGATTGAGGTAGGTCTTTCGGGGAAGGCCCTCTCCAGTTTAGCATCTCGTATGTATTAAAAAGCATATTCACAGTATCAGGCCTTTGAACTTGACCAATGGTTTTAGTTAATTTTCAAATCATGGTACCTCGCAACCGCCGAAAACCGAACCGGCGCTCAGATTCTGCGGGGCACTGCTATTGGACACGGACGTCATCCGTTTCGGCCGAAAGGCGCAACGCCCGCCCCAGGGACAAGTTGCAACCAAAAAAAACAAAGGGCCCGAAATGCCGCAGAAAAGAACGAAAACTGATGGCACGTACTTGCTCTCTGCCCCGGCTGTTTGGTTGGCTTTTGTTTTGGGCCTGCCCGAGCTTCCCTTGCTGTGAGCCACAAATCGGCGGCAAGGTGCCAGCTCGCGCGGGGCTGTCGTGTCACTTGCCACTGGCGAGCAAGACGAGCGGTTTACTTGGGTCTTCGGCCAACGTGGTTCATAAAACCCATCTGAAGCAGTGCCATCTATTCCTAACCAAACTATCCCTTCAAAGGACAGCTAGGAACCTAGGTTTTCATAACCAAATGCTGGCTCCACTTTGAGATGACCAGTTGCTCCTGTTTGTGTGCTCGAAGTGGGATTTCCCAAGTCGTGCTTGATCTTAGCGGGGGATATGTACAGAACCAAAAAGCGGCTGGTGAAGGTGTTAGCGTCTGCGCGTTGGGTTCGTGTTCGAGTCTTCAAGCGACACCGGTGGAAAGGCATGTCACCATCCAAATAAACGCAAGATTTGCTTCTAAACAAACTGCCAGAGGTTCCCTTTCAGATTGGGTTGGGAGCGGCACGCTCAAACCTGGCTCGTCCGATCACACGCAGTGGATCAATTCCAACCACTCCGGAGTGCATTCGAATCCGAAGTGGGCCGTGCTGGTTCTCCACACATTTGGACCAAGTGCTTCCTCTGCAGGGCCCGTTTTGTTGACACTATCGCGCCTTCACATTGGAGCCAACAACAGGCGCCCTCCACCCCAGGAGAAAAACAACAATGTGTCACAATATCTGCGATTTCAGAGCAGCCACGACTCATGACAGTTGGAGATGTCCCGTTCAGAGTTAAGAATCGCCCCTTGGGCGCAAAGAAACATGGAAGAGACGCATAACACAACCAATCCCCCGACGAATCAGATCGCATTCCGGGCTGGTGCCACACGAAATCAGAGGAATGGAGTTTCCAACCCAAACAGCGGGGAAAAGTAAAGCACATCCAAAGAGCACCTGTGGGTCATGGTGTACAGCGAGCCCTACAAAACCCAAGGTGCCTTGGTGTGTTTTGACCATGCCATCGCTTGGCCTCCTTTTGGGGGGAAGACTGTAAAGGAAAACCAAACGGAAAGAGCCCATTTTCGGGATTAGAACAAGCCATAACAAGCCCCTATGTCTAGTTTCCTTGAACCCAAGCACAACGTTCCCGAGCAAAGTGGGCGCAGTAGATAGGCCAGTCGCGCATGCTTAAACCCTCTTGTTTAAACATCCTCCTTTTGACTTCTCAAGCCAAAGTCAAGGTACCCTTGAAAAGAAGCATCGCCCATTTCAGTGTCCCCTTCAATTTGTTTCCTGCTGACCCCGGATTCATAATCCCGTCCGATTGAGTGGGACCAGTATCCCCTCCAAAGATGATGAACCCCAACCAGGGGGTGATGAATTCGGGTTCCTATTCGTCTGGCATCGGAAAATCCCATGCCAACCCAGTAGTTGTGCATGATTCGACCTGAAACAAGTGGAGAATCTTTCTGGGTTTCAGTCAAGTTTCGCGGTGCAACCAAACCAATATGGCTCGAGACGTGAGCCCGAAGGGACGGGGAAATCTTTGCGGGAAGTGCAGGTGTCCTCCCAAGCCAACAATAGACTACCAGTAATTCAGCCAGTGGACATCGAAAAACTAGTCGAAACCAAGTTCTTTTCCCGGAACTCTGGCAAAGGGAAACCAAGGGAAACCACAGCCAAACAGTTATAATCACCTTTTAAGGGCCAAGGGAGCAACCTCTATCCAACAAACATGGAAGTGCGCAACCCCCGTTTGGAAGCCCGCTGTCTGCTTGCTTCCATGTTTGTTGGTAGGATATCACCAAAAAAAAACATGGCCCACCCAAATCTCTCAAAAACCCTGGCAACCTTGTTTTTTGGGCCACTGACTCATGTGAGCGTTGACGCCTAGAAAAGCTTTCTCCAATGTGTGGGAGAATTCAAAAATATGTCCCCGATAAACACATCACCCCATCGAAAGGAAGACGTTTAAAGCAACAAACCCCCTGCCGTAAGGGGGAGGGTGGGGGGTCCGGGCCCCAATTCCACTGATCTGCCCCATAAAAGGGAAGATGGACTGCCATAAATAGGAAATCCCCTTCCAGAATTCTATTCGTAAGGAGGTGATGTGTAAACCCACAAAAAAAAAGAAAGAGCTGAAGCTCTGCCGCCCTTGTGGGCCCCAGCTCAATCCGCAGCGTGGGGTCGTTCAAGCGCAGCAGGCGCTGCATTGGCTCCAGGTGCGCCTGGGATCGAAACCCTTGCTGTGGATGGACAACATGATCATTTTTTCTCTCGGTGGTTTAGATGTGGTGGCTTGGATTTGTTCGGTGGATGCACACAATATTCAGTTGTTGTTTTTGCTGGTTTGGATTGGTGGCTTGGAGGCCTCTACAAAAGCCAACCCCAAAACAACAATCCGAACCACCAAGTAAGGGTTACCTGTCGTACTTATAGGTGGTTTGGATGTTGTTGTCCATCCGCAGTGGGTCCCGCGTGGATTCAGGAGATGTGGAGCTTACATAACACTTGTACTTGCGGCAGCACTAAACTGGGAAAGGCATAGTTTCGCAGTGGTCAAAATCCAAATCGTACCCCCAGTGAACATCCCAATCCCCACCAAAATAGACTAAGCTGGGTGGTGCACCTACCCCAAAATGGTACCAATTGGTTTTGACAACCACAGCCAAATGTCTCCGTACCTCCTAAGATGGTGCCAGCTACCTCCAAACCGAAGCTGCCCCCAAGAGGTTGAATGGGGTATACAGCCGCAGACTCCATGCGCTGCAAGACGCGACGATTGAAGTTGCGTGGCACCAAGCCGCAAAAATGAAGGACGCAAATGGAGGCATGAGCCGGAATCTAGCGCCAAAGCCGCAACAAAGAAAGAAGATCACAGTCCTAAAGGAGACAGAAACGGGGTACACGATTAATGCCAGCAAAAGGAAAAACCAAACGTGTTTTCTGTCACCCCCAAAAAAAGGGGTGGTTCCCCAAAAAGGAGGGCCTTCAGTACGGTCACTTTCCTTTTCAGGCGGGATAGCTCCTCAGGCAGGCTGGGGCCCCGGCCAGTGGTGGGTGCCCGTAGATCATCTGGTACAGGATGATGCCCAAAGACCTTGGCTTGAAATTGAAGGAACCTTAAGACCGGTATGTGTGAAAGGCACGGTCAGGTCTGTCACCTCAGTACCAGTATATGTGAGTACCAGTATAACCTTGGCTGGAAATTGAAGTTGAAGGTGTGAAAGGTGGACCAGGTCCACCGATCCGTCAAGCGGGAGCTCTGTCAGAGCTCCCAGGAGAGGCCAAGCAGTTGACCCATTGAAGCAGCCCGAAGATTCAGAGCCTTCACATCCCATCGAGCGGAGCCGACACTGCAACGAGAGCACTGCCAACGCATCAAAGTCTGCAAGAGTGTGCGTCGAGTTCGAGCCCTTCCAGGCAAGGATAGCGCGAAGGTTGTGATGCGCGCGGGAATCCTAGCAGGAGGCGCAGCATCCAGGAGCCTGTGACACACAAAGGTCAAATCTCCAATGCTTCTTGTTTTGTTTGTTGTAGTTGTTTTGTTTTTGTGTTGTTGTTGTCTTTTTCTTTGGGGGGGGTGGGGCGGGAAGTTGAAGGAGGGGGGCTACGGGGCGGGGGGTGGGGTGGGTGGGTTTGTCTTTTTTGAGGGCCCCCAAGATAAGTGATAAGTGATTTCATATCGTTGCCCTTTAAAGGGTGCCCACAAAAAGAACAACCCCTTATCTGCAGATTGGATCCCGAACTGAAAAAGTCCTCAGGCACCGACCCATGAAAACAAAACACAACGGGGAAGCCGGGGTTTGGTCTTTCAAGGGTGCGGGTGCGCGGTATATCGTGTGAAGGTCGCCCGCTGGGCAAAACCCAGATGCCGTGCTGCCACTTCGGTCCATGGTTATCAAGGGGTGCCCCTCTTAGAAATCAGAACCTGCCTAGGGTCGCCCACCCACACCCACTCACGGCAAAACAAGAAGCATCTCCGCAGCTTGGGTTTCAAGGTCGGGGAGGTGACGTGCCCAGAGCTTCAATGCCCATGATTTCAAGCCACGGCGCCAGAGCTGATGCACGTGTGAAGCAACGCTGAATACCCCCTTCGAAGTATTTGAAGTATCCCAAAAGACCTGAAAAAGAAAGCATCCATCCCCCCCCCCAACCAAACAAACACCTGAAATCAGAGGGTTTCTCTAAGAGTGGGCAAGTGGTTGGCGAGTGTCACCGTACCCGCCCTTCTCACCGAGCCACTCCAGGCTTCAAAGGCCGGGGCTTTTCCAGGCCAACCCGCCCACTGGGCGTAGAGCCGGGGGCCGGGCCAAATGTCCGAGGCCCGGCCCAGCTTCAACCTCGGCCGTTCGCCGTTCGCGTCCGGTCTCGCGCGGGCTCCATCGGGTGGCGGGCGGTTGCTTGAAAGAGGAGGGGTGTCCAATGGCAAGGCCACGCGGGGTCAAAACCAGAAAAAATCTCGAGTACAAAGTTCCCCCAATCATTGAAGTACCTCCTTACCTGCAGGCTGCCCAGTACCATTTTCGAATGCCAGTCGGTCAGATCAGCCCGCTCAAGCCCTTTTCAAGACTTACCCGCCCAAAACGAAGCACAAAGAGAACAAGCAGACCAAATCCGCTGGGAACGGTTGGGTGGAACCAACTCCGCGGACTCCGGACTCTTAACTCTTCAGACTCTTCGGACTCTGGGCTTCTGGACTGGCCCTGCTTCACCGCCTCCGGCGCCATGTAGCTCAGCGTCCCAACCTCACTTCGGCCCAGGATGATTCCCATGGCCAACAGCACCCACCAAGGGGAATCTCACCGAAAACGGGCGGCCGAAAAGGTGCTCTTTGAACCAGCCCAAAAGAAAAGTGTGGGGAAACCTGTCAAGGGCCCGATTTGGGGTTGCTAGGAAAGGTCGAGTCAGGGAATTTGGACACGAGAGCGGGGAAACGAGCTCTAAACTTCCACAAACACCAGGGGACTCAATAAACCAAGCCACAAAAGGCAGGGCTGGAACTCGAATTTTCAACTAAGCAGGGGACCCACTGTCCCACACAAACAAAGGGAAGAAAGAGAACAGATTGTCCAATGTCCGCTAAACCTTCGCAAGTTTGACCGTGGCTCACCTGAGTAGGCTGGTGGACCTGTTTTGCCAAATACACCCCCCAGAATCAATTGGAGCACCGGAGATCTTGACCAAGTTCATCAAATTTCAAGCCAAGCCAATGGTCCTGGTTGGGGCCTAGCCTTGAGGCTCCCGGTTGCGAGCAACCAAAGATTGCTTGCCTCTAGTTTGTCAAATGGCGATTACCTACAGCAGTAACTGGAAGCTCTGGGTCAAGAACCAGTTGGAGCACTGTAAAGGGGACCTGAGAAGGGGTTGGCGCCCTTGCCCTGTATTCCCCCCCAAGAATCCCCCTCCACTGCTAGTGACCTCAGTTGGACAGCCTTCATCAGCGGCTGTCTCTGTTGGTTCTCGGTACGGCTTCCACCCAAACAATGAGGAACTAGGGTCCCCACAGAGGCATCGCGCTGGATGTTGGTGGTGTCGTTGGAAATGCGCTTGGCAATGCCAAAGTCTATCACCTGCCGACTTTGGAACGCCGAGCCGCGAGGATGTCCAGCTCGCACCGTTGGTGGAACGGAACACATATCAAATGCCAAACTGACTGGGATTCCATAGCGTGTATAATTCGATCTCGATGAAATGGATCGTGTCCCACCCCCAAAAGGAATTCCCGGATTGATCCGAAGTTGGCAGTCGCGCGCGATAAGGCCCAACAGCAAGGAAGCAAGGAAGCAAGGAAGCCAGGAAGCAGGAAGCAAGGAAGCAAGGAAGCAAACAAGGAAGCAAGGAAGCAAGGAAGCAAGGAAGCAAGCAAGCAAGGAAGCAAGGAAGCAAGGAAGCAAGCAAGCAAGGAAGCAAGGAAGCAAGGAAGCAAGCAAGCAAGGAAGCAAGGAAGCAAGGAAGCAAGCAAGCAAGGAAGCAAGGAAGCAAGGAAGCAAGGAAGCAAGGAAGCAAGGAAGCAAGGAAGCAAGCAAGCAGGCAAGCAGGCAAGCAGGCAAGCAGGCAGGCAAGCAGGCAAGCAGGCAAGCAGGCAGGCAAGCAGGCAAGCAGGCAAGCAGGCAAGCAGGCAAGCAGGCAAGCAGGCAAGCAGGCAAGCAGGCAAGCAAGCAAGCAGGCAAGCAGGCAAGCAAGCAAGCAGGCAAGCCAGCAAGCCAGCAAGCCAGCAAGTGAGCAAGCCAGGAAGCAACTAAGCAAACAAACGGGCAGATAGCAAGACAGACAGACACAGACCCACACACACAGATACAAGAACAGACACAGGACACAGGACACAGGACACAGGACACAGGACACAGGACACAGGACACAAGGACACAGGACACAGGACACAGGACACAGACACAGACACAGACAGACGGACAGACAGACACAAGACACAGACACAGACACAGACACAGACAGACACAAGACACAGACACAGACACAGACCGACAGACGGACGGACGGACAGACAGACAGACAGACAGGCTAAGAGACAAAGAGACCAAAATACACAAAAGGCAAACAGAGACAAAGAGAAATACAGAGAGACCAACAGAAACAAAAAAAGACACAGACACGCAGACACACAGACAAATAGATGGACATACAGACACATGGACATACAAACAAACAATCAAGCCAACAAGCAAACAAAGGGTCGGAACAAACCGAAAAAGCAAAGCGAGCCAAAAACAACAAAAACAGAGCAAAACTAAACGAAACGAAAACCAACAAACCAACCAACAAACCTCTTTTGGGCTTCCTTTGGGTTACCCTCTTAGCCCTTTTTCCGCTTGTGCGCGTTCCGAACCAAAATCAGTTGAGACACAGACGGCGATTCTTTGCTGAACACAGCCCAGTGAAGTGGAACGGCGACAGATTTTCGTTTGTCAACCTAAGGGTTTCCCCACCCAACGCTAGAACCTTCTCAGAAGTCTTCTCAGGGTGAGAACCATTCCGGTGGGTAGGGGGGCTAATGACTATGCCTACCCGATTTGGGACAAGGCCGGACAAGGACTCCGGAAGGATGCGGAAAGGCAGACCGAAAGGGAACGCAGTTCTTGTGGATCTCCCGGCTTTGGAACCACAGCTATTGTCCAAACCTCTACAAAAGTAGCAGCGCCCAAAACGTTTTGCTACTCAATTGAGTACTTGCAACAACACCTGGTTGTGGCTGGGCCTGTCCCCCAACTTACCTTCAACTGCCCTGGTTTTCATGGCTCAAGTGACAGCGCGACAACCCGTGAACTGTGTTTTCGACCAGTTCAACAAGGTTTATACAGGCCTCGGTATAACCCCATCAAGTCAGCTAGAAGCCTACTATAATGGCGAATGAGAGCGGTCACCGCTGCTCAAGTAAATGGGGGTCACCCCTCAGCTGAACAAAATCCCAGTTCTACTTTGGGCATGAACTTCTACTTGAGTACCTTGTCAACAGGATGAGCATGTATGTCCACCCGTTGTTGAGGGTCGTCCATCAAACAATCCTTGCCAAATATCATTTGGCGAGGTGGAACCGCTGTTCCAACCAGTGAAACTCATAACTGTGTTTTTACCGGGAAACCGACGGCAGATGTTCAGAGCCAAATGTCATACATAGGTGTTGCGAAAAATTCAGAAAGCAGGGCAAATCAGGGGGGAACCCACAGAATATGTTCGCAGGCTGTGTTCGAAAAAACATCTTCTTTTTTTGGGGGTGTTTATAAAACCGCAAAAAATGGCACCGTCCAAACCGGACACACCCAAACCCCAGCGTTCCACAATGTCAGCCGCAGGAAGAAGAAAAAAAAACTGCCCCCACCCCCCCGCCCCCCCCCACCCCCCCCAGCCCCAACCCCCCCAGCCCCAACCCCCCATCCCCCCCCTCCCAAACCCCTCTCCCGGCCCCCCCCCACGCGCCCCCCATCCTTGAGGCGCCCGTTGATCAGCAGGAAGTTCCCGGGTTTCAAGTCCTCAGCGCCGACATCAGACCACTGGGGATTCAGATTCGACGGTTTAAACGAATGGCGCGGCTCTCCCCCACTTTTGGTTTCCTCATCAAAGTAGCCCCATAACGGGGACCCGTAAAAAAGGAAAAAGAGAAAAGAACATACATCTTATAATATATATATAGAGAGAGAGAGATATAAGAGGGACAAAGCATATGTCTTCAGCAGGTGGATCACATTTGACCTACAGAGAGTGTGGATTCCGGTGGGGTTCCGATAGCTTCCCATCGGGCAACACGCTCCCATTCGCCGGAAGCGAGGGGCAGAAATTGGTACAACCCCTGCCAATCGAAAAAGGAACGCGCTGACGGATTTTCTTTCCAGACCGCGTTCGGATCAAGTGTTGTGCCGTCAAAACTCCTGTGGGTGGTATCGTTCCCTTTATTTGGTCTACCCCCTGGGTGTTCAGCAGGGATTCTTACATTATACATCTGGACATTGCCTTGTAAATTGTGGTTTCCCTTGATTTTGGTGGAAAAAAACATGTTTCAAATGGGCAAAACGTATCTTTTCAGCCAAGTTGCTGGTTCGTTAAACCTTGCAAGCAGTTCGTAACCCGGGTGGCTTTGTTCACCTAACCCCGGCCCAATGCAGATGGCCAGCCCCACATCTGTCTCCAATTTATTGACGTCCCCTTTCCTTGGTTGATCGCTGGCTGGGAAGCACCAAAAGGACTCCATAGGCCAAGCAAATAAGAACTTGAAGGGCCGGTGGAAGCAGAACAGGATCCAGACTAGGAAAGAGAACGCCAAGAGCAAGGCCAAATGGAGTCACAATTCTGGTACTAAAGGGGGTCCCACCCAACTCTGTGTGAACCAGAATGACTTCCACCTCTTTGTGGTTGAGACTGTCCCCCACACGCCTTCACCTGGCCAGGCTTTGACTGTCACGTCTAGCACCTTGGAACCTATCGGCTGAAAAAAGCCTCCCCATGTCTCCCCAAATATTCAACGGAAAAAGGGTACTTCACTGGCTAACTTCTTCACTGCCTAACTTCTTCAGTGATTCTCTTCTTCAGCACGCTGAGGCGCAATCAAAATCTGGTGCCCAAAACCGGATTCTTGCCGCACCCAGTTCTGGTTGGACTGGGGCTTGCTAACCTTCACTTACCCGGGTTTCGCTTGTGACTCAGGTCATTTCTTGCCCCCTTTGGCATGATTTCAAGGCCCAGCAAGGAAATGAGCAGTCTTTTCTCTGCTTTCCGCAGTGGTCGCTGTCTCGAAAAAGCCGACTACAAAAACGCGGGCGCGGTGAGACTCCCTGCCAGAGGTTCCGACCAACAGGGGCGTCTGCGTTACACCCTGGCATGACACCTGCTGGGGGAATTATCAGGTCTATGTTCGTGAAATATGCATCACAAAGGACAAAAGCAAAATGCGATTTGAAGGGACTATGACATTTGTTGGGTCGTAAGTGCACTCCAAGGTGTAATACACAACCCCTCAGATTCCTAACCTCCCCCGAAAGCAAAGGCAAAAGGGTTGACGCCAGCCATACGGGGCGCGATCCAGGCGCGCTCACAGCTCAGGCCTTGTAGTTGGGCTCGCTGTTCTCAACCTCCTGGACGTTATAAAGAATTACTTGGGTGTTCGGTGATAAGCCACCTGGGTTCTAACTCACTAACTGCTTAGGGCTTCTGGGCCGACCACCCTCCTTGGGAAGGAGTCCAGTGGCATCCCGGATCTGTTTGCAAATCCCCGAGTGTATCTTTGGGCAAAATCCACGGCGACCTCCAATATGGGATGCGACCCAAAAACTCGCCATGTTTTTTTTGTTTTCATAGTGGGGGTTCTCTGGTTCTGACTGACAAGGCTCCAAGGTATCACTGATGTGGACTTTGGTCCCCTTGGTCTCGCAACTCTGGTCAGAACCGTCTGTAACCACAAGGGTTTTATCCTGGGCCAGCATTTTGTCCGTTGCTGTTGGTTGAGCAAGTTATATCCCATTTCTTGGTTAACTCCCTTATGGATCCTTATGGATGTTGAACCTAAACTGCAAGTTCCTGAAGGAAATGCATGCACCCCCCGTTTTCAAAAGCGACTTTCAGTATGTTTTATGGGTTCCCCGTTTCAAAGCATAGGGGGCCCTGGTTGTTTTCATTTTCGCCCCCCGGTCTGCTTTTGGAGCCCATAAACCCAAAGATGAAATGGAGGTCAAAACGCAGCTTGGTGGGATGAAGCAGGAATGGCATTATGCCCCAATTGCACACTTGCCCGAACTCCGTTAAGATGTATCTCTCGGGCAAATGTCAAACTATAATTGTTTCTTTTTTAAGCAGAACGGCATCGGATTCCCAAGTTGCGCACATCACCGACACCATTGACTGATGGATCTACTGCAATTCACACATTGGAAAATCTGGAATCCCCAAGAAAGAGCGACTCTGGGATGGATCTACTGCAACTCACACATTGGAAAATCGCGAAATCCCCAAGAAAGAGCTGGATTTACTGCAATTCACACATTGGAACATCGGGAATCCCAAAATAAGGGGCCTTTATTGTGGGGACGTCGCTCGTTGCGTCGATCGCTCGATACAAAACTTGGGCCGAATGGATCGAATTGGCGCGAAACGCGCCTTGCCGCGGAAGCCGCCGATCTTGGGGGGCGGGCTCAGGGACGCGGGCTTGTTGTACCTGGGCAAGCTAGGTCAAAAATCAGAGAGCCCCAAAGCTTGGTTGACGTTGCAAGGGGAGCAACAAATTAAATTTTAGCAGTTAAGTGGTTGGAATTCAACCACTAAACCACAATAAACAAAAATGTAAAACAAAATGTTTCCCAACAACAACCATGAAAGCAATAGCGTCCAAAGCAAGGCTGATTGAGATTTTGCCAAGCCCGGGTTCCTGGCGTTCCATGACAATGTGGGTTTCCTTTTGGTTTACCTCACCATCCAATCAAAGGGTGCACCTCCCCGACTCAGGGTCGGACCAGACACGAAACCTGCCCAAGTTGGACGGACATCCATGAGTAGGTTGTAACACATGGTAATAACTGGGGTTAAACCCCTTCCAAGACACTTATGACCTACTTCCTAAGTGGTTTCAACACCTAAGTGGAGAGGGAGGAGTGGAACCTGTCATCTCCACTTCGGATTAGTACCCGCGCTTGGGCATTTGCAAATGACCTCGATTTACTCCGAAATACAGATTTGCATGACTCCACCTTGCCATGTGTCTCCAAAGTCTTTTCCCACTCATAGCTCTAGGCACGAGCGGCCTTCGGCCCCCGAACCCCTGCCCCCCAAGGGTTCTCCAGAAAACGGATTAGACGCGTTTCTGTGGCTTCCCCATGTTGTGTTCCCAGCTGCTCCTGTGTTAATACTTGTTCCGTATATTTTTTGGCTGTCCTACGGGCTGGATCCAGCAAACCCGATTCCAAGTCCCAGAGGTTTCGGGTCCAACCTCTTCCGGGACAAATCCACCAAACCGCATCCAAACCAAAGCCCAAAAGCGCCTTCGGGCCCCCACTCCAGTCTATCTTAGTAGGGGAACCCTCCCCCAAAACAGAAACGATAAAAGGGCACCTAGCTGGGGGGCCCAGTAAAGGCTTCGGGCCCCTCCAAGCGTTTTGTTCTTCCGGGCGGCTTCTGGGCGGCGTTCTTCAGCAGCGCCCCGTAGTAGACAATGGCGAAGCCGCAGGTGGCCCAGGCCAGAGGCTCGATGCCGTAGAAGACGTCGAAGTACTCTTTGCCTTAGCAAAAGCCGGCGGTGGCCCTTGTTTTCTCCGTTTTTTTGTTGTTGTTTGTTTGTTTGTTTGTTTGTTTGTTTGTTTGTTTGTTTGTTTGTTTGTTTGTTTGTTTGTTTGTTTGTTTGTTTGTTTGTTTTTCGTTTTTTTTGGGGGGGTGTTTTTTTCCGGAGGGGGCCAAACACTCAGCCTGGATATGTGGACTGAGAAAACCGCGGCTGGTTGAAGGCGCTTTCGTTGGTGGTCGTTTTAGGGGAAATCGATGGGTTTCCCTGGTAGATGCTTAAACCACCAGGTAAAAACCAGGAATCGCCCAACCTACTTTTTTCGAGCAAAACAACCAAAAAGGACACCTATGCCGGCGCTTTCGTTTGTGTTCTCCATGTTTTCTTTTTTTTTGTTCGGGGGGGGGGCAAAAGCTCATGAAGTGGACATTTTTTCGGTTTTTGGCGTTCTCCATGGTTTTTTTTCGGCGGGAGCCAAAAGGCTCAGCCAAAACGTGCGGAGAAAAAGCCGCGGGCGGTTGAACATCAACTTTGGGGGTTCACTTGGAGGGACCACTTCAATTTTTTGCCAAACTTTAAGCAAAGGTGTCCGATGTAGTCAACACCAGGCCGGTTTCCAGCTGGTTTTCATGATTTCCGAAAGGTAATGTTCAAGGGGTCGCGCTCTTGGGAGTCTACACGCTTAAGTAAACAGTCCAACTTTCCGAGTCATGGACGAACAAAACTAGTTGGCCCTGTTTCTGCGAAAGCTTGAAGTCGGCTTTGGGAGGTCCTCCGGCCTTGGACGCCTTCACCGAACGGCTCTTGTTGTGGTTGTGAAAACATGGGCCGTTTCTGCGGCACTGAGTGGTTGATTCACGCGCTAAACCCAAAAAATGATTCTCTGGCTGGTGTCTCTGTGTGTGTGGCTGTTTTGTGGCTAGCCCTGCTCAGTCGTCCCCAGAAAACTAGCCAATTCCGCGATTCAACTGCCTCAAGGCAGTGTCAACAAAATCCTTGATCCCCGCTTGGGTGTTCAAGCTAGTGGATGTAACCCGGATATACAGGCTCCTGCTTTTTTTGCTTGAGCTCAAAAGGGGCGGATCCAGGCTCCCTAATCCACGTGGCGCAACTCGCTGCGACGCGCGAAAAGACAAGCGAAGGAAGGCAGAGCAAGAGGCGCTGCTAGTGCCAGCACGGTACAACCACCACAATCCGATCTGGCGGAGGCGCGCAGACCTGCTACCGTTCACATACCTACGTCGTGGTAATTACCCGTACCCACCTGAGATCCTCCCAGCATTGCTTACGCAAACCAGACTGCCCCCAAAATTGCGGGGACAGAGCCACCCTGAAAGAAGATGCTGCGCAAGGCGGATGCACGCCCGGCCCAGGAGAACGTGTGGAGGGCTGCCCACAACCAGGCACTGGCAAGGCTCATGCTCTGTGGCGGCGGTGGACTCACACAGGAGGCTCGTGTGCGTGCACAAGTTCGTGTCGGGCTTGCAAGGTGCTTGTGTGTGTGCCCCTCCAAAGAGACACTGCGCATACTTCCCGCTTGCCAAAATGATCGGTCACGGTTTAAACTCATGGCGACAATGAAGTAACCAAGTTCATACCGCTGGTTTGATTCAGTATAGACGCCATGTAGCACGCCTGGCCTTCGGCCGGAAAAAGCGTTTTGCAAATGTTCGTCGTGCCAAGCCAAGCATGGTGCACACGGCCACCCAAGGCGGTGCCACCATCCAGCGGCGTGTCGGTGCCACAGCGCGCCTTCCTATCTCCAGCCCAGACCTCCGCTACACCTTCAGGAAATTGGCCGGGGCCAGTACGCTGCTGCCGTCGCTCACCGACCCGTGGCGAGGGCCTCAGAAACACTCAAGTGAAGACATAAAGTCGATTGAGGAGGCGCAAGCCAATAGCACAGAGATTGTCCCCGACATGCCACCGCTGCTTTCTGGCTAAGGCTCCAACCTGGCCGCTCTTTGCCCACAGACACAAATTCCTCAAGATGTACCTCACAAGGCTCAGCCCGGTTACGCATCTTACTTACTGCCAGCATGTCAGGCTTTGAGCTGCGCACGTGCCGTAAAAAAAAGAGTCAACTTCTTTGTGTGGCCCCATCTTGGACCAAGCCAAACCCTGAGTGTTAAGCGTGGCTAAGGAGAGTTGCGTCTTCTCATGAACACATCAACTTGGCCAACGCAAGTGGCGAATTCTGCCCTGGCAGCGCCCAACACTGCTTCGTGCTTCGGAGTACGCAGCCCTTCCACTCGGACTGCTGCCTCACCACCAGGTCCGCCCCGCGAAAAGCACAAGAGCCGAAAACCAGCGTAGGTAGCGTCGGCGCATATAGCCGCTACGGCCGAAAACCCAGTGTAGGTAGCGTCGGTGTATGTAGCCGCTACTCTCAAGGCTCAGAACCCGCAACGTGCCTCTGCGCACCACACAGAGCTCACACAGTGAGCCAAATGCCAATTATTGATTGATTGATTGATTGATTGATTGATTGATTGATTGATTGATTGATTGATTGCTTGCTTGCTTGCTGTGATGTGATGTGATGTGATGTGATGTGATGTGATGTGATGTGATGTGATGTGATGTGATGTGATGTGATGTGATGTGATGTGATGTGATGTGATGTGATGTGATGTGATGTGATGTGATGTGATGTGATGTGATGTGATGTGATGTGATGTGATGTGATGTGATGTGATGTGATGTGATGTGATGTGATGTGATTGATTTGATTTGAGTTGATTTGATTTGATTTGAGTTGATTTGAATTGATGTGATGTGATGTGATTGATTTTATTTGATTTGAATTGATTTGATTTGATTTGAATTGGTTTGATTTGATTTGATTTGATGTGATGTGATTGATTTTAATTGATTTGATTTGATTTGATTTGATTTGGTTGATTGATTGATTGATTGATTGATTAATTGATTGATTGATTTGATTTGATTTGATTTGATTTGATTTGATTTGATTTGATTTGATTTGATTTGATTTGGTTTGATTTGATTTGATTTGATGTGATTGATTGATTTGATTTGATTTGATTTGATTTGATTTGATTTGATTTGATTTGATTGGTTGGTTGGTTGGTTGGTTGCTTGCTTGCTTGCTTGATTGATTGATTGATTCAGGGGTTATAACTTTCTTAGCTGGCGCAGGTTGAGCACCCAAGTACGGGGCGGGATCCCTGAAATCCCGAGAGGCTGGGGCTTGCAACCGGCTCTTTGCTCGTTCGAGGCGCCCTTGTAGACGAAGGCCTCCGCCCCCATGGGCGCGCTTGCCACCACCGCGGCGCCCGCCGCAACAAGGGGCGCCTCGACCCGCTCCACCCGTGCCGGGGCCTGCAGGATGCGGAGAATAGCTTCAGGGCACTAGAAAGTGAGCCTACCTCGTCCCCCCAAATCAGTAAGTAGACTGATGGGAACCCTGGACTGAGCTGTCCCCTTGTGTGATTCATTCGACGGGTTCTACCTAGATCAAGGGTTGCTTTTACCAAACCTCGGTCAGCTACTCGCTGGAAGGCCTTCATGAACATGACTCTTTCTATTTGGCTCCGGGACACCCTTAACAACTCATGCGCTTGATGCCGGCGACCATACGGTCGCAATCGATCCCCCCCCCCCACCCACCCCCCAAACACTGCGAAAGGCCAGGTCTTCGAGTCAGGACCAACCGCGTGAACATGGAGGGAAGACCTGAAAAAATGCATGTTCACAAAATTTCCCTGCTAAGGGGGATCCTTGTATAGTGGTGGGAAGAGATTGGCTCCTTCTGTGATACCAGGGGAATTCCCCCTTGGTGAAGAATTCGTCACGAAGATATCACGGAAGTGGGCAAACCCTTCAAACATACCCTTCCATTTGCTTAAGCCCCTGCAAAAAAGTGAATTCCCTTTAAAACCAACGAGGGGAAATCAATTCTACATTTTCCCTTTAAAGCCAACAAGGGAGAAAAATAATTCTTAAGCAAATGGAAGCTCCCATGAAACACTACCTCTTCCAACGTTTGACATCAGGCATTTCCTGCCTGGACGAAGGCTGTGGGCAGGAGCCAAAACAGGGCCGCGCAAGCGACGACGAGCACACCAGCACGGGCCATGGCGATAGAGGTTGGGGTCGGGCGGAGGGAGCGAGGAGTGGTGGGCGAGCTGCGCTGAGCCCAATGCGCGATGGGAGGTCTTCCTTCAAAGCCAGACACACAAAAAAACAATAACTACCGAGCCCAGCCTCAAGAAAGACACTGCCAAAAGACGGACTCAAAGCCACAAGGGGAACGCTACCCGCCGCTTTGCCTTTGACAAACGTGAACACCTTCCTCCGTTCTCTCCATGCCCATGACTTCACCTGAGTCCCCGTCACAGCAAGTGAAAGCAAAAGCTCATGAGACCATGACTTGCAGGAATCTCCCACCTGGCTTGAGACAACACAGTGCTCTCCTGGAGATTGTAGAAACCCCTTTTGGATGACCCCCTTTGAGTTCCGCGTCAACTTCCAGGGATTGTCTGCAAAGCCAAGGCTTGGTCCATGAGACCGTTGTCCGCTTCGATGGGTGTGAGACTGTTCCAAAAATGGGCCCGTTTCTCCAAACGGCTGCCTTCCCGGTTGGTTTCCCTGTACGGGCATGAAAAAGAGGGCCTCCCTATAAGACGATGCCAAAAAACATCCGGCACAGCAAGCAGATCTCCGAGGGCCACGCAGAATGCACGATGCGCTCTTGGTGAATCACCTATCCCGGCTCCAGGATCGGCGCGTCCCTCCAAAAAATACAAATCGCAATGGAACTCCGGATTTGCCCGAAACAAGAGACACCCCCCAAGCAAACTCTACTCCAAACACAGGCCCCAAAACCATGCCGTTTCTTGGCCTTGAACAGGGTTGCTCCGAAAAATTCAGGCGCATAGAAAGGCTGGCTCCTCAGGCAACCTGTGACCCTCCTGTGTTGCTCATCTTTCAGGAACAGCCCGGAGACCCAAGGCCCGAAGCCTGGAGGCGATGCCCGGAAAGGGGAAGCAAGCAAACTGACAAAGCCGTCTCGAATGCTCCAAGATCCCGAGCGATGCACAGGACATTTGGTTGGGGATGGGTGATTTGGATTTGCGAATCTTGGAGGCGAAGGACTGCGCATGTTTTACACTCTACAAGAATCAGGTCATAATCCCCAAGCCATCAATCAAAACCACCAATTTGTGGGCTACCTGGGCAAAGGGAGGCCCGTGGAAACCCCCGAGCAACCCTGCCAAAGGAAACTGAACATGGGTATGTGTGGAAATAGGGACCCACCAAATCTATGGTGGACATGCTCCATGAAAAGGCGCTCAGACGCTCAGACGCCTGCACAGCTTCGAGCATCTGCTTCCAAAGGTGCTGGATCTGCGACATGTCGAGCCTCGCACTTGGGGTATGGGAGATGTCCTTTTAACTTGCGATCGGTGTGATAGGCGGGGAATGAGACATGGAATGACCCCCATAAACCATGCCCTATAGTTTCTTTATTCCGGAATCCCCATTCATTCCCTCGTTCCCTACCTGTCGCACCAGCAAGTCAATTCCTTTTAGTTTCCCGGTTGCCAACTAGTACTTCGAGCAATCCCCACCCAAGAAGTTTGCTTGACGAACCTGGGCTCCAAAAAGTCAACGTGGGGCCGGAAGTGGCATGCAGCCGGCTGATATGGCGAAGAAACTCCATCGAACCAACATGGAAGCTTGCATTGACCCCTGATCAATAGAGCAGCCTTGGCTAACACACACACACACACAAGCCAAGAAACAAACCAGAATAGGATTCACCAGGCGTGAGTCACCACAAAAAGGCTCCCAAACAGAAGCAGAAAGAAACACGGAGGCGCGTGACAGACCTGCCAGGACTCCCCACCCCCCCCGAAGACCCTAGAGACTTTGGCCTGAGGAACCTATTCACCCTTGAATGCGACAGAAACGCCAAGTAGGAAGGGTCCGGATTCTTCAAAGCTGCGCCATGGGCCTTTCTGCTTCAAAAGGAAGCCAACAAAGTAAACCAAGCATGGCTCAGGTTACCCCATACTTCAGTCGAAACACTTTGCCCGTGCTTCCCTTCGACCCGTCTTCCCAAGTGGCATCCTGTCAGATCCATTTCGGGGCGCGCAGACCCGAAATATGGCCTCCAGGAAAGAGAAGGCTGGGGGAAAAAGGGGAAGCAAAGCGCAACATCGGGAACACAGCACTGAACAAGGACAAGAGCAGGAAATTAAGGGAAATGAGGATGAAACGAGGATTGAGAAAGAACTCGAGCAAGTTGAAACCAAAAAAGAAAAACCCTTAAGACAACGCGGGGAAATGGAGGTTGAAACCAGGAACAACCCTTGAGAAAACGCGGGCTCTGGCGCTCAACTTTAAGTAAAAACCTCGTCTCCCGGGCCTGGGCTGCGACTGCAGGAAGCGACCCAGGTCCATGTCACCGGCCTCGCGGGGGTAGGGGAGTCATTTTTTGGAGTTGGTGCCCTTTTTGAGGTGGCTTTAAAAGGAGAAACCCAAAGCAAAACCTTCCTTTGTAATTGGGGGGTCCCAAAAGACAGACCAAACTCACTAAGAACTGCCACTTGCCGACTTGGCCAAACCAAACCCCGTTGGGCGATTCAAGCTGTTTACACATGGCTAAACGCCCATGGTTTAATCAACCTCCTATGCTTTCCCCTGTCAATATGGGCCATGGCCTGGTTGCTTGAACATGTTTTACCCAACCCTGCCAGCAAAAACACGAGATTGGTTTCGCATGAGGTGCTAGCCGTTCTCGCTATTCTAGAAAAGGGCGTTCCACGTTCGGAGGAAGCACAATTGCAATTCAAGATCTTGCTCTAATCAAACAAAGAGGTCTTCTGTCTTTTTGATAGCAGCCTTGTTTTGTTGGTTTGCAAGGGACCAAAAGGAAACCAACCATTTTTTGGGGTCCCCTGAAAAAGACAAAGCTATATGGAATTGTCGGCAAATAGAAGAATCCTCAAATGGGTCTGCTGTCCCTTCGGTTTGCCAAAACGCCATGCCAAAAGAACGTTCATATCCCGTAACTTCGCAAACCTCACCTTGATCCAGAACCGACATGCAAGCAATATGCTCATTGGACTTCCGGAGCAAACCTGTGGATTGAATTTCTGAGGCTGCCTTTTGCAGGGAGCCCCTCACTGACGATGTCGACCGCATCGACCGCTCGGGTACTTGAAGACGTCCATTGGACGGTTCCTTCGCCCTTCGCCCGCCTCCATCACGATGTTGATGCGGCCCTTCTCCCGGTCCACTTCCGCATCGACCACCTGACCGGGATCGATCGATCAATCGGTCAACGGGTGCGCGTGAAAAGAATACTCATCAAGCCATGTCACAGGCACCCACAACAACATGTGTATATATATATATATGTATATATATATATATATATGGCTTATATATATATTATATATATATACATATTGTGTATATATATAATTATACGCATATTGTGTATGCAACGCATTCGCCGTTCATCGCCGCGCCCCCTCAGAAATAGTAAACTATTCGCCGGGCATTGCCCATGGCAATTTCCCTTGTAAGACCCAGCAGGGGAAACAACCAAATCAACTCAAGCAAATGGAATCCAGGATTATATTAGTCTTTATAACTGGTATATAGCCAAAAGGGTGTGTGGCTCCCCAGTGAATCCCTTCTCTGTGGCAACCTTGATCCCACACTTCCCACAACCATGGGTAGTTACAACCCAGGCTTGACATTCTGCGAATCGCGGTGCCCCTAGTTTTGAAACATGGAGCAAGCGGCGCCAAATGAAAAACCTGGATGAGCTCCGATATTGCACCAAATCCTTGCTTTGCCAAACTTGATCAAATTCAGTGCTGGACTTGAATTTCTATGCATCTCATGTTCACAAAAGGGGACTCCCACATTCGTTTTTGAATGCGGGCCTAGGCCACTTTTGGGCGTGTCGACTATCAAGCCCCCGGCCGTCTCTCGTATCACCAGGACTTTTACAGCCATCTTTCTGCATCGAAAACTTCGGATCGTGTTCCGTACACATCATTTTGAGACACAAGGGATCACCCATCACCCATGCCTGCCGCTCTTCTTGAGAACCTCGTTGTGGTTAACAGGGATGCCGATGCACAACAAACAATTCGGGGGGTCATAAGGCGAGGTCTAAATCTTGCTGTGAGACAAACGCAAATCAGAACCCTCCGATGCACGAACATGGAATCTTACTGGGTCCTGGTTTACACTAGTCTGCTTTCCTACGTCACCATGTTGGAAGGGGTACACCAACCAGCACAGATTTGACGGAAGATCATTTGCATCACTGAATCCTGAAAAAGGAGAGCGGGGGTTTCCATAAACTGGTCTCGGTCAGTACGCGGGGTGGGGGGGCAGGGGTTGGTGAAATACCCCTCCAATAAAGTGTGAGTGTTCCCACTCACCCACCCACCCTCCGCCTGGATCACCGAGTCCCGGTCCCTAAGCTGCTGCAATAGGACCACCTCGTTCTGGAAGGCCTCCGTCGTCCACAATGGGTGGGGTTTTCTCGGAACAACCGCCGGGTGCCAGCTGGCGGTAATTACAAGAAACAACGAGAAGAAAACCGCTTCTTTTATGTATTTGTTGTGTTGGGGGGTCCCCTGTTTTGAGGCAAACCTTATTGATGTGATATAGGATAGGCCTATCGCCTGAGGGTACCCTTCTACCACGTCGAAGCCCGGTTTGCGTCCAGCAACGCCGGTTGGAGACCCATGGGATCTATTGGACCGAAAGGTGGTCGTTTCTCAAAATCGTGGGCCCCCCTAAAAAGAGGCCACGTGGGTGTGTCTTTGTTCGGGGACCTCTCCCAATGGTTGCTTTCCCTTTGGTCTCCTGACCAAAAAATAGTAACAACCGTCAACAAGAAGGGGTTCAAGGCCCAACAAGAAGGCTCGCCACCCGATGACTCAAATGGACAAGTAGCGTCCTCCACTCTAGCCTTTCCCAACAGTCATGGAACTGGATGCTTGGGGTTTTCTGAAACCTTGTATGTCCCGTAAGAAGACTAGCAGGAGGGCTGATATCTTTTAGCCAGACCTCAGGTGGGCCACTTGGGTCTGCGACAAATTGGCTGCGAAAATCCTAGATGTTCAAGAGCCTTTTCAGGAGTGATGACCGTTGCATATGCGCAACGAGTCAGAAAGCTTCTTCTCCTGGCCTTCCAAATCCAAACCCGCGATTTGACTGAGTCCAGGCGACAAGGCCAGGATCCAGGATCCAAGGAAGGCTATAGACCGCGACTGGAAGGATCCTTAAGATTTGTTAGCAGGATCCTTAGCCAGGACCATAAGTGGCCATGGACAAAACTGATTGGTTTGTGCTGCTTGTTTGTTTTTGTTTTTTTGTTAACTGAAACCCCCTCCAAAACAAGGAAAGGAAGCAATTCCCACGGGTTGAATTGCAGCGCTCGGGATCTCGGGATCTCGGGATCTCGGGATCTCTCTTCACGTGCCTCCAGCTGTTTGGAGTTCTCCGTCCTTGGCCCGGTGAGACTAATCTCGAAACGGGAAGGGTGCCCATGACAGGGGAGTGCCCCGGTAGGTTTCTTCAGGACCGCCTTCAAGTGGAGAGGAGAGCCTCGGGTGGGTTCAGCCCTTCTGGAGAAGTTTGGACTCCATTTCAAACTGAACCCGCCGGGCGGGTTTCCAAAGGAAGAAGCCCGTTCACTAAGGGGCTCAACCCCTAAAACAAAAATCCAACTGTTTTTGACCCAAAGAACCTCCAAACAACCAACCAAAACCACCTGATTTGGGGACCAATGGGACCAAATTGACCAACATTTATCTGCCTCTGACCCACAAAAAAAAGGTACAAAAGCAGGGAAAAGGGGGGTTGCGTCGGGGGGCAAAACCGGGGACCGGCCAATTTTGACCCCGGGCTGATAAAATCCTGGGTTTCGGGCAAATCAAATAAAGGACCTGGAAAGCAACGGGTGACTAGACGCGTGCTAGAGAAAAATGTCGGTCTTGTGCGCATAAGATCACGACATGACACTAAGGAACCACCCACTCACGGTCCTGCTGGCCCGGGTTCCGCGTTGCATGAAACCAGGGAAGCACTTCAAAGGCGACTCACCGAATGACAAGACCGTTCTTCCCAAAAGGTGAGGTTCATAACCACCACAGGTCGACATAGAGGTGAACTCATCGAACTCCTGGCCGTTTCCACTTAGAGTCCTAACGGCCTCGGCCTGAACACCATCGTTCTGGTGTTCCTTATTGAGTGGTTGCCTAAAAGGAATCCAAAACAGAACCTGGCATCTTGAGTCCAAGTGTTTGTTCTCCCGCTTGAAAGGTCCGTGTGAGCCTCACTTTCTCACAAACCAGGCATGATCTGCCACAATTCTCAGAAGCTACTGGCCCTCAATGTTTCGTGTGTTCCAGGGTCATCTACGCCTGCATTTTTATTTTGGGGTCGTCCGCACCCACACGCGTGCAACATTCCGCGGGAATCTGGGGCCAGGGATGACCCCCCTTCCTATTTCTCCCTGAGCCTAGGATTTTCAAAATGGCCTTTGGTGTCCTTCTGGTTTCCCTTCCCACTCCTTCTGGACACACAGGCCCCGGCAGCGTCTTGAGATCCCAAACCCTAGGGGCCTGGGGCCCACACGTCACCCGCTTCAGCGCGAAGATCTCGTGGGCAGCGTTCTGGACCAGGTAGACCTGGCGCGAACCCCCCGCGCAACTCCGGATTTCTCCGTGGAATCCCGTAAATCAAGAGAGGCTTCATGGGTTCCCCGAGCGAAGAACCCGGTGCATTGGGGTTGTTTTAGGGAGAAATCACACTAGGACCGGGGGTATGGCCAAGTCACGAAACATACGCGGGCGGATACGCGTATTTGCGCTCCGTATCGGGAGCTACAGCACGCCTCCCCCCCCCCCTTCGTGGAGTGGGGGGGGGGGCCTGCTCCTCCCAAATTGCCCATTTCCCAGGTGTGCTCTCGGATGGACACGTACAAGAGGAGGAGAGAGCCGCTTCTCAACGTGCTCTCTTACTGTGCGCTCACCATTGGAGATGTTGCGGGCATATGTGTCACTATGTCTGAAATGTGAAAAACCATATGTCCTGAAGGAAAGCCTCACATCACAGCGGCCTGGCAGTCTGACCAAGGCTACCCAGCATTGCGCCCCCAACTCCTGGGCTTGGTGGGAAATTTCGGTTTGCAAGTCAGAGTACTGAGCTAGACACTGGCTCCACACATCCTCCGCCACATTCCTCCCTGGTTGTGCACGCAATTTACGAAAAGCTGCACGCAACATCGCAGCTTGCCAGCACAGTGGCTGTTGCGCTCTCTTGCACCACAGTCAGTGGGTGGTTTTAATGTCTCAGGGGGCTGCAACCCAAAAGCCACTGGAGGCTTGTGCCTGGAAACTCCAACGGCAAAACCTTTTTCCCCAGATACGGGCTCGGCGGCGCAAATGTCGGCCGACACGCCGATTTCGAACAAACTAAAAAGTCGCCAATACGAGAAACCGAGTAAGAAAACAAAACACCGCCGATGTTTACCGATGTCCCATCACGGTTTCAGGGCAAAACAAACATGCTTCCACCTGAAAAACATGTGGCCAACAAAGGGAACTACCGCAGGCCCGCGCAAAACGCCGCCTTGTCGCCAAATGCCAAAAGGCAACAAGTTTGGCCGATTTCGAAGCTTCGGGTAAGCTTCCACAGATCTCCAAACATCCCTTCTGGGTGGTTTTGAAGAAGAGGAACCAAAAGAAAGCCGCCCATTTGGGTGAGATGTTTGGGTACCCTCTGTTGGGCATCTTGAACATGGGAATGTGCGTGCACCTTTTTGGAAGGGCGGCCACAACAAAGGTCATGAGTCATAGCCATACTGATATGTAAGCCTCTGTACGGTAGGTTGGGGTTCATTAGTTTTCCGCAATGCATAAGGGCATGGTAGTTGATATGGTTGGTTCCCTCACAATATGTCTCTTTTTCGGGAACCCCAAAAAAGGATGGTTCTCCTCTTGGTTTCCTTTCAAACCAAACGTACCCCCCCCAAAAAAAAAACAAGGAACCTCCTCCCCCCCCAAAAAAAGACACCCCCCCCGAAAAAAGAAAAAATACAAAAAAAAGGCCCCCCAACAAAAAAAACGAAAAAAAGAAGAAAAAAAGCAAGCAAAAAAAAAAACATTAAAAAACAAAAGCAAAAAACAACATATGGCAGGGGCATCCACCTCCAACACCCCCAGAAAAACCTTCCCGCTTCCGCCTTGGAGCTGCCTCCGCGGCCGATGGTGTTCAGCTGGGTGTACCTGGCCAGCGGCGTCTTTTTTGGAGTTGGTACCCTTCTTGTTGTACACGTCCTTTTTTGGAGTTTAAAAGGACAAAAAAGGAGAACACAAAGGAAATCAACCACAAATGGACACCAACAATGGACACCTCCATTTGTTGTGGAGGAAATCCAAAAGGAAAACCACCATTTGGCGGTCTCCCAAAAAAAAGGCACAGCCACGTGTCTTGTTTTTTGAAGGGCCCCCAACATGGCAGTTTTGCCGTTGACGTCCCTGTAAACCCAGGTGACAACGGTAGCCTCAAACAACAAAAACAAAGAGAACCAGCCCATGCGCGCATCCTCCTGGAAAACTTACCCAAGGCCACGAAATCGGCGTACTTGGATCCTGGGGCTTTAAAATGTCCCTCACCAAAAGGACGCCTCGCTTCGAGTCGGCTTTGCAAACCGACCTGCGCGGATCAACTGGGGAAATCGACCCGGGATTGACTCAAATCCTGAAAAACACGCTTGAAGGGAAATTTCCCTTCGTTAGACCAAGGAAACACAAACTGGGTTGGTCGTTGATCTGCAGATTTGTTCCACGTTGCATCCGCAAGATGGAGAACGATCATGTTCACAAAAGGTGGAGGTTAAAAGTCAAACCAAAGGGTACCCCAAGGTCGAAAGGTCGGCTTGCATCCGTCACACAATTCGGGCTCTACAAATTTCTCCATGAACGAATGCACCACCTGGCAACTGGGTGTGCGCCTTCTCAAAATTGGAAAGTTGTGCTGTGCGGAATCACTTCAATTCAACCAGTCGCTGACTATAGCAAGCCAGAAGCACTCTGGATGTGTAGCCAACTTCTTTTAGTAGCTGGCAGTGCCCCCAACCCTTCTGCTTGTCTGGGTCCTACCTTTTCACAAAACCGAAGTCCGAAGTGGACATGGGTGTTGGGTGTGTCCCAAATCCATGTAAAAACCCCTACACCAAACTAGTTGGCGCCACTTCCCTCCCTCCGTCCCTCCGCTTTTCCAGCCAAAGGAGCAAAACTCTGGCCCACCCCACAGCGGCTACGCAGCCAGGCGCCCAAAAAAAAACCACCAGGGCCCTGGCGGGATGCCGTTCACCGCCACCACCTGACCGGGGTCGTAGATCCGATCACACCGAACAGAGTTGGGAGAAATCGCCTTACCCCTGCTTCCTGCACTTTCATTGTACACTTTTCTTGTACCTTCCTTCTTGCACACTGCACTTTGTACGACCTCCTTGCAAACACTGCACTCTTACTCCTTGCGCCATCTTCCTTGTGAGTGATAATGCGCCTTGCAAAATTTTGTTACTCCATGTAACCTACAAAATCGGGTGCCCCAAAACAGAGATTCAGGACCCTCTCATCGAGTGCTAGGGCTAGGCTAGGTGAGCTTGCTATGAGTTGTCCAGATCTGGCGTGTGCAATTGCGGGTTGGCGTTGTTCTTCAGAATCCATGCCCCTGCAAAATGGTTTCGAAAGCAGATCCGCCTTTCAGCAGCCCTTTGGCCAACCCTCAAAAGGGCGCCAAGCCTCTCCAAAAGACATACCCCGCTTGGAAAGCTGAAAGGACAGCGGCTTGGTTTGACAAAGCAATTTCAAGCCAGATGTTGTTGGTTTGACCAATCAACTGATGGTTCAAGACCAATCAAGCATGCGTCGAGCTTTAGTAGACAAAGTCCTCTTGGAAAAATGTGGGTTTGGCCAAGCTGCTTGGTTCTTGACATTGATTCGGGCGGGCTCCTTTGATACCAGATTCTAATTTGACTGGTGTGAACCATGTGGGGGGCTTCCCAATGTTTGAGCCATGCAGTCAGCTGGGGGGGGGGGAAAGTCATAAACAATTTGGTGTGACCATGCAAGCATATACAGCGATGGGTTCATACACTCGGCCCACCACATGCACCATGGTAAAAACATGGTATGGTGTGGCCAAAACATTGTGCCGCATATTGATAGGAGGTCAAGTTACAAGTAGCTTTCCCGCCATGTTCCCAACCCAAAGCTCCTGAGGGTGGCCTTTACCATCCCCTGTGTTTCTGGCGAGACTTTTACATATTGGGGCGGCTGTCAATGGATTTCAGTCCCGGCCCAAATGGACCACTGGATATTGCGGACCCCTTGTTTTTGCGTCACCAACATCTTTTTGCCTGAACCCCTCTTTTCTGCGCCACCAACATCTATGAATCCCAGGAACCAGCTGGGAAATTCTCACCGCACCTCACGTGGCTTCATCTTGGCTCTACGCATTGCCCGCCTTGGAGCTGCGGCCTCCGTGCTCTGGGCCTGGCGCCAAAAAATCGAGCTTATGCTTTTTGGGGTGAGGCTGAAATAACACGTGGGTCTTTTAAGACCCGAAAGGAATGAACTACCTGCAATTATTCTCCAACCCAAAATGGGGCTTCGCTGTAAAAGGGATCTTCATGGGTCGCACATTGTGAGGTTTTAAAGGAACGCCAAAAGAAACCGACATCCATTTTGGGGACTCCTCCCAAAAACGAACACCCATGTCTATACCGTCCAATGCCCACGGCCCAATGGGGGTGTCGCGGAAGCTTAGCATCTGTCTGGTCGGACAAGGCATTGATATCAAGCGCTCCCTCTTGAGCTCATCCCAACTTGGATATTTGTGTAAGGGCACTCTTCTTGGGCTTGGTTCTCCAGAGAAAACCGAAGGCTATCTAAAAATCGACACATGGCTGTGGCTCAAAAATATGTACCCAAAATGGCACCTTGGCAAATGGAACTCTCAAGACTAAAACCTGCGGTTGGCCCTGGCTCTTAAATTTTGCGCCACACCCACATGAGAAGTGTCTCAGAAGGGCGGACCCCTTTGGAAAAAAAGACAGCCATGTTAGGCTATCAAACAAAAATCGTCACATACCCATTCGGAGGTTCCCATTGGACGAAACCGCCCCGCGCGCTGAACCCCCAGGCCGCCGCGCAAGGCTCGGGCACCGAGTCATTGGACACGTCCAGGGGCTGGCGGGCCAGCGGCACCGTGAAAACCCCGAGGCAAATGGGTGTTTGTTTTTGTGTGTGTGTGTTTTCAGGGTCTTTAAGGGAAAACTGTTTGAGGGTCTTTTTAAGGGAAAAACCTATCAACTTAGTCTGGTTTGGGGGTATTGGTCAACTGAGCCATCCCAGGCAAACCAGTTGCTTTTTGGGGGGGCCTCTTGACACCTAGGTGGTGTTCGTGGGGCCTGGCGTCCTGGTTTGCGTGCCCAAGAAACAAGTTTGGCGTCAGGAAAAAAGGAACGTCCTGCCGCAAAATTGGGCCAGCCGGAAGTTTAAACATGTTGAAAAAGGGGTTGCTAACCACAGGCGTCTGAGCTTGCTTCAAGACCTGTGACCTGCTTGTGCGTCCTTTTTTTTTTTGCTGGAGGGGCAAATTAATTATTTAGAAAAGAATAAAGAGAACAACGCTTCCGAAATTTGTTCAACAACATGGATAACATAAGGAAATCGGGAAACTAAAACAACCTTTGCAAATTTTATTCCTGGGCCCATAGGAGGCTTGGTTCAAGATATTTGAACATCTGCTGTTTAGACAACCTCATTTACACTATGTGTCTCAAACACCGGGCGCGCGACAAATCGAAAAAGGGCGGGTTGCTTTGCTTTGCCACTAAACATCATCCAAACTGGGGTCTTTGTCTTTTCCTCCGGTTCCCCTCTGGAGGGGAGCAGGGTCTGGTTAAAAAAGTGTCCAAGGCTTGTGGCCTGCCTGGCATCCGGGAATCACATCATGTCTCAACATCCAAAATGGAACCCCAGGTAAAAGGTAATTCAAAATGAAGCCATCCATTTGGAGGGCTCCTGATTCTGAGACACACGGATGTGTTGCACATGGAACAAGTTACGTAGACACCCTGGTGACGTACCAATCAATTTACCAGGGTATTTTTTGGTCGGATGTGCTTGGTTCACTCGCTTTGCAGGGAATCAACCGCCACGCTTGGCTTCTTTGTCAGGTATCCTTGTGGTTCCCTTTTTGGAAGGCTCACACACGCTACCTTCATGGCCATTGAAGGGTTTCCCGCTTAGTACTTTCACCGATGAATGATACAGGGAGGCCCTAAACAAAGCTGCACAACCATTTCCACTCATCTGCAAAGGACCCAAATAGAATCTTCACCAAACATGGCTTGTCTGGCTGACGCCCGATGTTTGAGTACTCCCTCCCTCCCTCCCTCCCTTCCTTTCTTCCTTCCCTCCCTTCCTTCCTTCCGTCCTTCCTTCCTTCCTTCCTTCCTTCCTTGTTTCCTTCCTTCCTCCTATCCGAATCCGTCCCAATCTCAATTCACATCCAAAGCTCAACTAGTTCTTGCCGATGCTGTCAGGGCAGCAGTGCTCCCCCAAATCTCTGGCACAAGTGTAGAACAAGTGCAGCACAAAACAGGGGAATTAAGAAATTTCTGGCCAAAATCATGCTCCATCTTTTCCACGGCTGCAGGAGCGGTTCTTCGGCGATCCATTCTCTTCAGACTAAAACCTTCCAGCATGCCACTGCAAATCAAACTCTCCGAAGGGGCCATGGAGTCTAAGTTGGGTTTTTGAGGGACCCCTTGTCATTTGTTGGGTTGCTTCAACTAGGGTCCCCAGCTTCAAGGCACGATTGATTCTGACAAACTCATCCTTCACTCCCCTCCCCTCCGGAAAAAAAAAAGAGAGGCAACTCTGCAACCTCCGGCCAGCGCCTTTGCCACAACCTCGCAACTCCCGCGGGTCCCGGTCTGGTCATGGCTCCGCGGAAGCCCGCGGCGCGAAGGAGCCCAGCCCCCGGGCCTGCTGAGGAGTGTGCGAGGGCGACCTGACGCAGGGCGAGGGGGCGAGGGTTGAAGCCAGGGGGAACCAACCAGGCGTCCCAACCAGCTAAAAACCAGCTTTAATAAGCTCGGGCGATATCCCCAACAGCACCACACCCTCCCAGAATCCTCGCGGAACGCCCCGAAACCATCCTTACCGCCGGTGTTGCTGAGGATGCCGCCTTGTAAAGCAAAGCTACGAGTGACAGCGCAATCTCGCCCTGATCGGGGCCCGACGGCGCAATTGGGGCCCGATCGGGGCCCGACGGCGCAATCGGGGCCCGATCGGGGCCCGACGGTGCAATCGGGGCCCGATCGGGGCCCGACGGTGCAATCGGGGCCCGATCGGGCCGACGGTGCAATCGGGCCCCGATCGTCCCGTGGCAACCCCAGCCACCCATATTATAGCTCAATGCCGGTTTTCCTTAGCATGCGGATTGCAACTGCATCTATATATAGCAAAACTAGGCGATGCCAGCTTGGTACAATTGACCGATCGGGGCCCGACGGCGCAATCGGGGCCGGGGCCCGATCGGGGCCCGACGGTGCAATCGTGCCCCGATCGTCCCGTGGTGCAACCCCAGCCACCCATATGATAGCTCAACGCCGGTTTTCCTTAGTATGCGGATTGCGGCAAAACTATAGGCGACGCCAGCTTGTACAATTGAAAGGGCCTGACTGAGTCGGGCCCCGATCGGGGCGCGATGGCGCAATCGGGGCCGATCGGCCCCAAACAGTGACAGCGCAATCGGGTTCCGGTGAACCTCGCAAACCGTTTTCGCGCAACTTTCGTGGAGCTCAGCGTGAAACTTTGCTGGAACCTTTCCTCAGGGCTGCCCCATAGCTTTTGCAGAAACCTTCTGACCTCATAGCCCTCGCAGCCTCGTGGAACTCTTGCAACCCAAAGCAAACCAAGCAGCAATGCCAAGCATTTACTCTGCTGCACCGTGAGTTCCGCAGCGACGTGATCTGATTTGCCACAAAGCCAACATTTGCCTGAGCAAGTGAGCAAGTCACAAAACAGTGAAAGTGTGCTAAAAGCCATTGATTTCGGTTTTGCTTAGTGTTCCGCCCATGAGCAAAGCGATCTTGATCTGATGGCTTTTCAGACGACGGGCGCACGACACACGCTTGGTGGAGCATTGTGGAGCCTTGTGGAACCCGTGTGGAATCCTTGCAGAGCTTTGTGGAACCCTGTGAAACCTCAGGGCCCACAGCCCTCGCAGAATCTTGTGGAACCCTGAAACCCTCATACAACCTTAACTCAAACCACCCCGGACCACCCCGCAGCCCTCGCAGAACCTCGTGGGACCCTGCTAGAACCGTGCTGGAATGGAACCTTACCTTGCAAAATTTGGTGAATTCTGGTGGCATTCTCATGGAACATTACCTCAAACCAGCCCGGACCGCTGGTGGAACCCTGGTGAAACCCTGGTGGAACCCTCGTGGAACCTTCCCCGGGACCTTGAAGAAATTGGTGGAACCCTGGTGGAACCCTCGTCCGGAGCACGACGGGCTGGTGGAACCCGTGGAAACCTGATGGAACCTCGTGGAACCTTACCTCAATTAACCACCTCGGACCACCCTGCAGCCCTCGCAGAACCTGGTGAAACCCTGGCAGAATTCTGTTGGAAATCTGGTCAAACTGTCGTGGAACCTTCCTCAAGCCAGACCACCCCAGTCCTCGAAGAAATTGCTGGAACCCTGGCGGAACCCTCGTGGAACCTTACCCCAAACCACCCAGACCACCCCGCAGCCTGGAACCCTGGTGGAACCCTGGCGGAACCCTCGTGAAACCTTCCGCAAACCTGCAGCCCTCGAAGAAATTGATGGAACCTTGGTGGAACCCTCGTGGAACCTTACCTCAAACCACCCCAGACCACCCCGCCCTTGCCCTGGTGGAACCCTGGTGGAACCCTGGTGGAACCCTGGTGGAACCCTGGTGGAACCCTGGTGGAACCCTGGTGGAACCCTGGTGGAACCCTGGTGGAACCCTGGTGGAACCCTGGTGGAACCCCTGGTGGAACCCTGGTGGAACCCTGGTGGAACCTTAGCTCAGGGTCGCCTCGAACCACCCCGGAGCCTATCTGGGCTGAGACCCCAAAGCTTTCAGCTGTTGGGGAAAAAAACACGGACGACCAGCTAAGAAACCAACCAGCTAAAAAAAAACGGACAACCAGCTTAAAAAGAAAAACGGACAACCAACTCCCTGGGCCTTCGGGAAGGTCTGACTCAAGCAAAATTTTGCAACATGGGCTTGGCCCAGGGAAACGGGGTCAGCTCCATGATAAACCACTCGGCTTGGCACGTGGGAAGCTGACCCAAAAAGGCTAGCGCTTCTTCAAGCCAAACGAGGACATCTGGGGACCCGTTGCAGGCGGTGGTATACCAACGCTTGCGCTTTTGGGAAGGCAACTTTGCTTTTTTCTTCAATCCACGTTGGTTGCCAGGGGTTGGAGCGGGCTGATGCGTTTTCCAAAGCTTGGCCCTCCAAGCAGACATCTAGATTTCTAGACGGCCCGTGCATGATTCCTATAAGGAAGTCTGAAAAAGAACCCCGGATTACAGGCACCCATCCATAATATTGTAAGTACACATAACTGAACGCGACAAATACAAAAATGTTCATTTCTACATAGTTAGAAGAATCGTTGACACACTCTAAAGTTTTTTACTTGGGCCCTTGTTATGGGCTGCTAGTGGCTGAAAAATACATACACTATATATACCCCTTATGTATTGGGTACGTAGCACAAGGACCAGGTGGCTGGATGTGTGCGTTTCTCAACTGCTGCCTCTGGAGTAGCAATCTTTGGCGACAGCAATCTTGAAAGGTTCCAACTCCACTGGGACTCTTCGTGCCAAGCCCCCAAACCCCGGTCCCAAAAATAGGGGCCCATTCAGGAAACCCACTGGCACAGACAGTGTCCTGAATGGGCCCCTATTTTGGGAACTCAGATGTTTGGGTCCTTGGTTGCCCTTTTGCTGAAATCAAACTTGCAGATTTGCGTTCGTTGGAACTATCGTCTCTCTCGCCAGCAAACCACAAGAATAATGGCCCATAACAGTGGCCCATGTAAAATTCTTTAGACACACAGTCTGCGTCCTCTATGCGCCTTTGCGAGTCGTAATTTGACCGTGAAGCCGCGCCTCTCCTGGGGCGACGAGGACTTGGCAGCAGCCACCGCTGCCGCCAGGGTGGTGGCAGGGTCCGGCCCTGGCGGTCTCGGTTGTGGCCACAGGGCCGTGCTGCCTGCGGGGGGGAGGGGGGCGGGGCCTTTGCTCATGGCGGTAGAGCCTCCCCCGATATCTTCACAAAAGTGGGAAAACATGTGATACCAAAACGGCTGACCCCCGACTACTCCTTCATTGGCGATTCTTGGTATCGCAGAAAGTGGCACCCCAAAACCAATATCTGCTTCCACAACAATCCATTTGCTTTCTTCTCGGATCCTGAGTCAGCTCTGGCGCTGTGCTACACTCAACCACCAGCTCCCCAAGTCTTGAAAGTAGCCATGAGACACCAACACACTGACGCGAGGCATTCGCTAAGGCAAGGTTACAAGGTTCAGCGAATGCCAGGACCCTGCCTTTTGCGTCGACTCCTTTGATTGACTAAAATTTGATCATGACTCACTTGAGTGTTTTTTTGTCCCAAATCTTTGAGCAAGTGCGGGCAGGATCACAAGGGGGCACAAGGGTATAGAATCAGCATGGTTTCTTGCCCATTAGGTAACAAAGGGACTGAATCTTCAACCCAGGTTTCGGCGGGTTTCCTTATGTTTCTGTCGCATTCCAAGGAGGCCGACTCAGCAACTAACATGGAACTTCGCAGAAGGTCCCTTCAAGAGGAAGCATCGTCCAAACCGTTGCCCCGGTCAGGTTCCCTGGCAATGTGGGTGGGGCCCAAGTTCTTCAAGTTTTGATGATCGCTGTGAGCGACGATCAAAACTTACTATTGCCCCTGGTGTCGTCCCCCATTCCCGAACCCCAATTGGACCATGTACAAATTCAGATATTCCGACCGAATCTCAAGTGAACCCCTGAAGCCGACCCAGCAGCCCGCCTGCCAACTTCGAAATGCTGGCGGCCTAGCACGAAAAGGTTCTGACCCGTTTAAGGCCGCATTTGGCCCCAAATTTAGTCAGAAACAATCCCAAAATGGTCCTAGTTTTGACACGCTGCGCTTTAAAGTGAAACCAACGTGTCCAAAATATGGGGCCTTTCAAGTAGTTGCTTTCCTTTTGGTCTCCCCTTAAATCCACTTGACGCCCTTATACGCATTCAGGGACCCAAGGTCAATGTTTGACTCATGTGTCCATAGACCCAGGCAAGAGGTAGACCGGTGACCTGACGCAAAAACAAAGAAGAAGAGAGAAGTTGGGCCCTGGCCGAAACCTACCAGCGGTTACCTTTTTGGGGAAGGGAACCACCTATTTTGAGGATCCCACACGTTGTCTTCTCAAGATGAAAACGGCGCGAACTGTGATGTTCACAACAAAAAGGGTGGATGTTCGATGCATCTCAAATGTAATGATTGCAACCCAAAAGGACCACAGCCTGTTCCGCCAACGCAAAGATGCTTGGGCAAACTTGCCGCGAGCGGATTCGGGCCAGCGCTCGCGCTTTGGCGCTCGATGAGGCCCGGAACGAGGCTCCAGCACCACCCGCTAGGGCTGCAAGAAATAGTCCAGGTCCCGGCGGTTGTGGTCCCTTCTGCACTTTCGCCGCTCGGGCGCAGGTGTTGCGTTGGTCGAAGTCTGTCGTTGCGTGAGCAGCTCAGAGCCAACAATCACGACTTTGATCCATACAACACCTCCGTGCTGCACAATGACTTGCCGCCGCACATGTATGAAAAAAGGGACCTTGAGGGCTCCTCAAGGTGTCCCTTTCGAGCCCCTTGGAAGAACATTTAAAACAAATACCCTCAAAAAAGCGCAGCCCGACATTGGTTCCCCTTCGGGTTGGAAATCAGCCAGTTAGGAGGAACATGACAGTGGAACTCTGACTTTGACAGCCCAGACTCGACACGTAAGCTGCAGGAAAAATCTAGAAAACGGCTCGGATGCGCCTTTCTGTGGATTGTACCTGTTCTTTCCCCTGTTAGTCCATCGATCCACAAAAGCCGTTTTCTAGGGGAAAGACGGAAACAAACACACACCATTAACCATATGATATATATATATATATATATATGTATATGTATATATATATATATATATTATATATATATGTATATATATATATGTATATATATATATATATGTATATATATATATATGTAATTGCTCTAAGTCCACCGCAAGCTTCCCGCTCAGTCGCTCCCAAGCCCACCGCGCATTGGCCCCCGCCATCTACCCTCGATAATCCGACCAACTGCCCTGCAAGGCTCGCACCCGGTGGGGCGATTCCACCTCCTTGATGGGCGACCTCGGCACGAAAGGAGGAGAAGTTAAGGGGGTCAGAGGTGTTGGAAAGGTTCAGAAGTTTGGTTTTTTCTGGGTTTGAGGCTGAATTCACAAGAATTCAAAGGTTTCACAACATGGATGATCACAAGCTGTGTGTTTCAGAAGTTTGGGTTGTCCCATTGCACGTCCAAATGAATGGGCATCCTTTTCGGCCTTCTACCTCTACAGTAGAAGAAAGCTGAACACAAAAACAACAAACAGCTAAAGACACAACAAAGGGGCCACCACGCAAATTTGGCACACAACCGCCGAGGAGAATGTCCTGTAATGCCTCATTCCCCACCTGAGCAACAAACAGCCCGGGGCTCGGCATACCCTTCCCTTGCTTCCCCCCGCCCCCGAACAAAAAGAGCATGAAAAAAGTCAAGATCGTTTCGTCTTCCTAAGTCAATGTGTTGTGCTTCTTGGCCTATCTCCCCCCCTGTCTTGTCTCATTCTTTCTCATTCCCTCTCATGCTTCCTCATGTTCTCACTCTCCTCAGTTCGTCTCATCCTGTCTCTTTCCGTCTCATTCGTCTCATTTTCTCTCACGGCTTCCTCATTTTCTCACCGGGCCGTCTCATGCTTCTCATTTATTCTCAGTTCGGCTCCATGCTTCTCATTTATGGCCGGGCACCCTGAGCCAAGATCTATTGGCAACTGACAGAGGGTCCCTTCAAAAGGAATTTAATCTTCAAGGTACCTCCCCACAGGTGCCATGTTACTTGCAGGAAAGGTAAGTTCGGATGGAACCCACCGATTTTTTCCTCAAGATGTCCAAACCCGCGCCCATGGCCCATCCGCACGCCCCGAGCGCAGCACAGAGGGACCATAGGCATGGCCGTGGCCGTGTACTCCTCGCCCGACCCCCAAAAAAAAAGCACCACGGACCTACAGAGGCGCACCGAACCGGCCCTAAGCCAAAAAAAACCGTCGAACCCCACAGCAAACAACCCTAACCTACATCAACCCCAAAACCCTAAGCCAACCCGAAGCCAACCCGAAACCAACCCTACATCAACACCGATGCAACCCCCAAATCAACCGAAAACCAACCACAACTCAACCGAAAGTCCACCCATCACGCCTAAGTAAACAAACTCTAAACTCTGAACCACTAAATCAACCCAGCTCCAACCCTACATCAAACCAAAATCAACCCTAAATCAAGCCTAAATCAACCCCAAATCAAGCCCACACCAACCCTTGATAAAACCTGAATAAACCCTCAAATCAACTCTAAATTCAACCCCAACCCAGCCCCCAAACCAATTCTAAACCAACCCAAAGCCCAATCCAAACCCCAAACCCTAGATTCTGCGTGTGTTTTTGGGGATTCACGCCCGCGGCCCGAAGCCCACTTCCCCTCACGCCATTGCCACAATCAGAGCCTGGAACGCAATTCTCAGGGAAGCCCTGATTGACAATCCTCGCCGTGTTAAGGCACCGCACATGCGCACCTCTAGATTCTAGGGCTTTCTGGAGGCGAACAAAGAACCAAGCATACATAGCGTGCGTCAAGTTCCAGGCCACTGCTTTCGGCCGAATGAACAGGGCGTCCTTTACCCGTGACATCATGTTCTTTTTTGGTTGGTTCAGGATAGCCATGGGAACTCAACACCTGACTTTGCTCCATGGATAGAAAGCTGTGCCCATCTATACTTCTGTAAATGTTGCGTAACAAGTCCAACACCTGACATTGGCCTGAAACAAAAATTGGATTGCATTTCCCAAGTAAAGGACCGACATGGTGAGCTCGTTTCACCGCTCTGCGAGATCGAATCCGGCAAACAAATTGGCCACATATCGCCTAGTTTAAAACCGCACTCCATCAACCCACGAGTGGAGTGTTGCGGGAAAGGCCAACCATTCGCCCCGGCCACGACTCCTGTGCACTCAGCAGCCCGGCTCCTGACAAGCGCACTCCAGTCGAAAGAGGGGCAAACGTGCCAAAATGGAACAAATACATCATGAATCCGCGGGTCGAAGCAAAACTGAACTCCTTCCAAAGCACACAAGGGATGACAGTCGCCCGCTGCATCTGGATTGGGGTGGGGTCTCCAATGAATTCCAGCAGACCTCGTTGGCTTCTCTACCTTTTGGGGCCGCTTTGGGACCTTGGATGCCTTTTCAACCGACCACTTGGTGTGGCTCGCAACAAGCATGGCCATTTCGCGGGACCCCTTATTTCAAAGCCAAGGAGGGCAAATCACAACCATTCCTTCGCGCAGGAATTGGATCCAACGTGACTCCAATGTCCAAGGGGACGGTGACAACCCGTGGAAACATGTTGAGACCTCTGGTGCTTACAACTCAACTCAAGTTATTGTTCCTTTGAGGGAGTTCTTTTTGCTACCTTCTTGATGCCCACAGCGTTCTCCATTTGCCGAAGCCTTTCTTGGGACGAGGGCGAGTTCCATACAGATCCCGAGAGGAATCCAACAATTCAAGGGAGCAACTATACGTGTTTCTCAACAAGGCAATCTAAAAATGACCTCCTTGGCCCCTTCACGCGGGTCCAGGGCCTTGGTGCTTAAACCAAACTAACTTACCCACCCCCCTTCGTCCTGAATCGTCTTCGTCTTCCTCGTCCTCCTCAGGAAGACGACGCATCGGGCTGCCTGTCTGCAGGAGTTCATTCTCAAAGTCAACCCCGCGAGAAGGGGAAATGATTCGAGTCTCGGAAACCAAACCAAAGACACAAGGTCAACCAGAAAGCAACCGAGTTTTAGCGTAGCCTCGTATCGCGCGCGCGGTCGTGCAAAATGGGGTGAACTGGGATTTGTTCTTGGTATGACAGAACCTGGCGCTCTGAAACCCCACGTCCAACCATCATGGAAGGATGTAAAAATGATTCCACCATCCAAGTCACTCCGGGGGCTAACTTGAGACCCTCGAGAAGGTCCACTGGAAATGACTTGACCAGTCTCCCCCTTTGGCCGCACCAAAGGCAGGTCCCCATTTTCATCTACGCACACCCATACAAGGATGGGGGCAACGGCTTTCTTGGAGCTGCATAAGGTTGCTCTCACCGCGTGGAAAGGATCGGACCATTCTCCGAATCGCTCGAGTGGCTTCAGCGAAACCAATTGAGAATGATCAAAAGGTAGGCTGAAGAGATCTCTCAAGTGGTAGCTTGAAGGGAAAGCATCAACCTTGAAAACCCTGGCAAACCGTTGCAACTACAGTCCCAGTTTCACCGCTGTCGAAACGCCTGAAAAGAGACTCTCGCAGCTTGCCAAGGCCATCTTCTGCAGTCTGCCGTACGCTCAAAAATGTGTGTATATATATATATATATGTATGTGTGTGTGTGTGTGCAGGAACCCTGCAAGCGGACCCCGAGATGCCGATGTCGCCCACCCCAGCTTTGCGCAGACCGGCCTAGTCCCAGGATGCGGGGACGTACCGTGGGCCGCGCCTGGCTTGCGGCTTGCGGCTTGCGGCTGGCTGGAATGGACCGGAGTCAAACGCACACAGACCCTAGTTTTCACACCAAGGGGCACACAGTATCTACCCTCGAACAGTTGGCTGTTCGCTTCAGCCGCCGCGTGAGCGGCTTCGAGAGTGGCATGGGCCAGTTTTTGCCAGCTTTCCGAGAGCAGGGGACCCCAACCACCGGGCATTTCTTGTGACAGCTTGTTGGAATCCGCGGTTTTTTGACAACCCCCCCCCTGCCCATGTACTACTGTGGGTGGACGAAATCCATTTCGCACCACCTGAGAAACCCTGGAATGATTCGATTCCCCTACGTCAATGCCAACAAACGTTATGCCTCAACCACATATTATATGGGGCGTACAAAGGGCATGCAGTGTATGGATTCTTTCTCTATCTATCTATCTATAGCCATATGCATGCTTGGGTCTACTCTCGTGAAGAATCGCTTGCGGCTGCTTTCTCCATGCTTTCTGGGGGATGGATGGGGTAGGGATGATGTTTCCGTGCTGCCCGAACGCAAACCGGCTCCCGCTTCTAGAGCCCGCGAGCGTATGAAGCTGACAATGGAACAGATGCTCGCTGCGTCTCACCAGCAGAACGCTTGCCAGTGTCCAGTGCTTGAAGCTGTGTGGTTGGACCTGCGCTCAACTCTTGACGATGATATACCGGGAGTGTTGTACAGGAAGTTAAGGAAAACATGCCGGAAATCCTGCAACGTCGCTTGCGAAGAATGCGTTTGCAGGCTGCAGGTGCTAGGTGAAGCTGTCGAGCTCCAAAGGAAGGGTTGAATCCACACCAACAATGTACTGCTCTGCCAGCAAAAAAGAAGACTGGAACACTCTATATACTTGAAGCAAACATAGCACCAAACAAACAAAACATATGCCGGATTGAGTTGGTTCCACAAGCTGGGAAAGTGTATGAGTAACTGGGGGGGCCAATGCTTTCAAGCACTTCTTCTGGGTTGAACTCTAAACCCAAAAGATGTCCAAGTCCAAGAGGTCTGGGAACGTTTAGAGGAAAAATCTAAGCTTTGAATTCAAGGGTTTTCTCAGATCTGGGAAAAAAGACTGCCACGCTTAAGGAGCACTCCCATACCAGCGCCGTTGCTCTCGTCACCGCGTCGTTTCCCGGTGCGGAGCCCTTGAACGCGGCAACCGCTGAAACTCGCAGAGGCTGCTCCAGTGGAACTTGTTCGCGCGGCGGTGAAGAAGCCTCGTGGCTCAAGTACTCGTGGACGTGGGAAACGAATCCACTGCGCAGTCCAGCAGCAACGCACGATCCAAAAATACCTTGAGGTAGAGAAAATCAAGCAATCTTAGAAATCATGGTGTTGTTCTGTGTGTCCTGTCTCCTTTACGTCTGTTGAGGTTCGTTGAGAAAAAGGAAACAGGTGGAAAGATGGTGGGTTAATCCTGTTGGCACGTCTATTCAAGGAGTTTTGAACCGCCGTAACCATAACCAGAAAGATGCTACCAAAGGAAATGAAAGAGATTGGATGACAAGAAACGATTGTTTGGTTGGGTTCCTTGTCAAATGTGTTTGGCCGAATAAGAAAGCAAATCCATTTCTGGAAGTCTTGAGTCTTGGAAGTTATGTTTGGACCAACTAAAACCCCGCGGCTGTCAAGTTACTCAAGGGTGGATCGTTCGAGCGGTACTCCCCCTACAAATTCACCGAAGGAATCCCAAAAGTGACTCCGACTCTTCCAGCGGGAGTGCTTCTGTTTCGTTGGGCTCCGTAGCTCCTCCAGATCTGAGAGGTTAGAATGAGGCCACCAACTTTTTTCTGCGGTCGATTTTAGGGGGGGAGCCCTCCCCCAAAAAAGAAACGGTACAAGTTGGCACCTGGGGGGGACCTACGTGTTCTGCCAGCAGGTCGGCCAGAAGCGAAACAACCGCCCCGCCCCGCCCCGCGCGACCTGGGCATGGACCGTTTCGCGGCTCGCCTGCCGGAGCTGGCTGGCTGAGATGGAGTGATCTGGAACAAAAGCGTCCAAACCTCCAATTTGATAGCTGGTTCAAGGAACGTCAGAATAAAAGGTACACTGGCATGGGGAAAAAAGGAGTCTTAGCTGAAACATAACAAGTTTGAAAAAAAGAGTGGGCCGTTCAGCTGAAGAGAAACAGGTTCGGGCAGGGTCCAAAGTAAAGCATCTCCCAAGAGGCGTTGTGTGATATTGGTTTGTCTCCCTCACACTTCCCGTTACGGAAAATGGGCACCTTTCCGAAAGGGGTGGGATTCCGAACCTCATCACTACTTCACCCTAACCGGGTTTCCAGGCGCGTAGATCATTGCGCTGCGTAGATCGTTCCCTTGAATTACGTGGCCCGGTGCGCGGATTTTTAGTGGATCTTCTGTCTGATGTGCTCTCACAAACGCAGTTTCTGCTCAGGGGCAGCACGTGATGTGTATATATATATATATACATATATATATATGTATATTCCTATTTGTGTGTGTGTGTACATGTGCATGTGCATGTACATGTGTGTGTATATGTATATGAATATTTATGTGTATTTGTATATGTATACGTGTCTGTACATGTGTGTATATGCGTATGTAGATGTATAGACATATGTATCTTTGTACATTCGTGTTATATATATATATATCCACATACACATGTATATATATATATACGTATATACATACATATACATGTGTCTGTGTCGATCTTAGTCCCAAACCTCCGGCTTCCTGCCTGCGCCAAGTCTTTGGCCATGCGCGACCGCTCATCCTCGGGCAAAGCGAGCGACGCAGGACCCAAACGCTTGGGCTCCAATTTCCCACATGGAGAATCCTACTTGAAAAGGGCCTCTCAAAAACGACCTCTAAAACGGCCTCTCAAAAACGACCTCTAAAACGGCCTCTAAAAAACGACCTCTAAAACGGCCTCTAAAAACGACCTCTAAAAACGGCCTCCAAAAACCGCGTCCAAAAAAACCAGCTGCCTTTTGAAACGACCCTCTGATTTCCCAAATGAAACCACCACCTGGGGCGTTCAAGATGCGGAACCCTGTGCGGTCAAGTTCCTTTGAAGTAATACGCAAAAGGATAAAGCCAAAAGACGGCCCTCGTTGCAAGGGGCAAACACCTGGAACGGCGGCGGTGACCCCAAGGCACTTCAGGAAGCCCGAAGCCAATGATCAGCACATGAACCACGGCCAAACACACCAACGTTCCCCCTAGAGCACCCGAAACCATCTGGGAGTCGCAGAGATTTATTTGCAGAGTCCCCTGGTGCTTGAGGAAATTGAGCAAGTCCACCAGCGGTCCCGACTGCCAGTATTCGTGACCGAACCTCGCAGCCTGGCATAGTGCATGTTTTTCACCGAATTGCGAGGCACGCTTACCTTAGCTGATACACACAAAGTCATGAAGAGTTTCCAGTGCATCGCTTGGGCACCAAATACACACAGCGCCAACCAGGTGTCATGAGGTGATAAGCTTCGATTCCAAGCACGCCTTTGTGTCTTGCCATCCCACCTGACCGCGCAAGTCTGGGGCCGTTGTTCGGGCACGATCTTGACTTTCATCTGCCTCACCCCAACTGGACCCAACATTACAATGCCAGCCTCAAAACCCAACATTTAGTCACAGCCATGACCAGAGCTGTGATCAATGTTTCAAGACATAGGAAGGACACCTATCAAAGATTCTCGTGCCCCCCAAACCGCCAGCAAGTCGCCAAGGCATCGACCAACCACCAAAATCAGTTATGGGAGCTCCAGATTCATAAAACTCTGGTTGATGAATGAGAGGCGCAAACCACTCTAGAGGGGATTCTTATCGTTGTCTTTTAGGGGAATTCTATTGACACATCAGCTTCACTTCGCCATGGAAGTGCACAAGCCCCCTGTGGAGGACTATGTTGTATTGGAAAGGGCTCCTGTGCCCCCAACTTCGTTGGCGGAAAGGTGGGCTACAGCAGGGTGATTCCTTTGCCAAAGGCTGTTTGGCAAAATGTTTGGCATACCTCCAAGACGAAGTCCAATATGGCAGCTGCAAAAGGACAAATTAAGAACTCGGGAACAAATCAATGTGTCCTTTTCGTAGTGACGTTCTTACTGAGGTGGAATATAGGCTTGTCAGAGGGGACCTCCAAAAATGTGTGCTTCCCTCAAATCTGCATTTTGGAGAACCCCAAGGGAGGCCTCACAAAGGCACACCCGATAAACCTGCTTAGGGCCCGCACGACCTCTGCAAAAAGCTGGTCCTCAAGTACAAGATGACCATGGCCCCTTGGGGCCGCCACTGAAATACCCCCACCCCTAAAACTAAGGAACAGTTTTCACACTGTTTGGGAAGAAACGCAAACGCACACCGTTGGTATGTGGCAGGGCCCAATTGTTCTCCACACACAACCAAACACATTCGAGTGCCCAAGTGGAAAACATAACTACGCTATGTGCTATCTTTGTGCAAGTCCCGACGAACAAGCCCAAGAAAAGTTAATCTGCTCCAATTGCTTTGATGTGGGGGGGGGGGGGCAAAGGGTCAAAAAATAGACTTGTCAATCTATCTGAGCTGCTTCTAACATGTCTAAAAGGTTTGGTTAGTTTAACCAACTCTTTCATTCTGTTGATCTTTGACTTTCACGGCTATCCCAGAAATCCAAACCCCAAAGGAAATTAACCAAATTCTCGGATGCAACTAATTTGCGGGGGTTCAAAAACTCAAGTGGGCAATTTGTGCAAATCAATCTGCGTCTGTTGCCGGGAGGCAAAGGAATCCACTGATCAAACTAGCTCAAGCTTATTAGGAATTTCTAGAGGGCACATGAACCGCCAGCGGGGTGAAATTATTCCCTACCCACACCCCCGTACCTCGACAAGGCAAACCTCGCGCTCTCTGCGCAATTGGTCAGCAGAGCTGTTTGAATCCCATTTCCCCTCTTTGGTCGCCCGCGCTGAAACTCATAAAGGGGGTCCTGGTTTCAAAACCGGCAAAAGCCCACTCCAGGCCAGTTCTCTTATTTAAGAGAGAGAGAGAGATATATATAATGTATAGGTATATCACCGGCAGCAACGGGGAACCACCACTACCACAAGCACAAGTACAAGCACAAGCACAACAACCAACCAACCAACCAACCAACCAAACAACCAAACAAACAACCAACCAACCAACCAACCAACCAACCAACCAACCAACCAACCAACCAACCAACCAACCAACCAACCAACCAACCAACCAACCAACCAACCAACCAAACCAACCAAACCAACCAACCAACCAACCAACCAACCAACCAACCAACCAACCAACCAACCAACCAACCAACCAACAACGACAACAACGACAACAACCAAAAAAACAACCAAAACAAGCAACCAACCAACCAACCAACCAACAACGACAACAACGGCAACAACCAAAAACACAACCAAAACAAGCAGCCAACAAGCAACAGCACACAGCCAACGACCAACAAACAACCAGCAACAGCACAAAGACAACAACGACAGCGACAACAAAGACGACAAGGGAGGCAAGGAGACCATGCGCTGGGATTAGCTGCTTCTCTCGGACGCGAAGCGATGATGCAAAACATACCTGAGAACCACTGTCTAAGAAAAACAGGCCTGCAAGCTGTCCCCGCCAAGTGGGAGCGCGCAGCGCCGGACAACAACAAAAAGAACCTTCGAATCGGATGGCCAGTGTCAGAGCAGCAGTTGCAGCAAGGGACGAGGGCAGGGAGGGCGCGATTTGCCTGTTGACCAGTGGCAGACGCAAGGGATTCAGACAGAGTACAGCCAGGATCGCCACGCTGAAGCAGGAGCTTGCTTCCAGTGCTTTTGGGCGACCTTGATGGCCTAGGCCAGATCCCTTGGCTTGAAGCTGGGACTCTGCCAACAACAGCCTGTTTGCTGCGACTCACAGTGAGTTGCCTCACCTGGGCCTCCTGCGCAAAATTCCGAACTTCTGAGGCGCGCGTGTCACAGTTGGAACTCACTCGTGGAGCCAGCGTCTCCGGTTGGAAGGAGTTCAGGAAGTTAAAGACTAACGAGTGGAAGATGTTGAGGCTCTGAGAGCCGCGTCACCATCGTTGCCACATATCCATAAACATTGCTTGCAGCACCCGTGCATCCTAGTTTAGGCATCCTACAGTGACCGGGCGCCTACACGGGCGCCTACACGCGCGTGAACGAGCAGGAGTGGGCGCACAGGCTCCGCATGGAGTGGTGTCTTTTTCTTTTAGCCAAGGTGGCACAGACCGTCCTCACCAGTGTATGTGGGTGGGTTCCCCAAAGCGGTCGAGCGTGTTTCCTGGGAATGTGCGGAGTACGCTGACCTTCGATTTTACGCATTCGCTCAACTTTCCATTTCTGTAGATGCATTGCCTACATACCAAGTATGCTGGTACAACCCCTTCAAACCGGTTTGGTATGACAACCTGCTAGGAGTCTGTGGACAGCGGTGGATTAGCTACAACGGGATGCTTCAAGTTTGCCAAAACTGATCGAGTCATCGTACGCTGATGACATCTCAGCGGTTGCAGTTGCGGACGCAGCCGAGGAACTGCGGGAGGCGGCGCGCCGGTTTCACAGAGTCGCGCAGGCCTTAATTCAAGAACTGTGACGCTGGGGAGGTCACGCAAGTCGTACACTTTTGGCGATGAGTGCCTTGCTGAACAACTTGTGCAGGGCGTGGGCCACAGGATGAAGTTTGTCATAGCGGGCGGGTTCTTTGCCACCCATGAGTAACTAAAAACTTGAACGGCGCAGGAGGAGAAGAGATCTGCAGCTGCAAAGACCAAGCGTTCTGGATGCAAAACCCCGCCGCACCATTGCTTCAATCGTCAAAGAGTTGGGAAGCAAACCCAACGCTCTACAGAAGTCGCAGGCAACATCACCCGCCCGACCTTCCTGCAGCATCAAGCCCTCCATCATAGCTGCACCTGCAACCCATGCGTTGTCATCAACTTCCAGGCCTCTTGCCACTGTGTGGCATCCATCCGTGTCCCTGCGCAGCATCTGTGCCTCTGCAGCCATATTTTCTGTGACGTAAGTCTGGGCAGCGCTCTTGCTCTGGTGGGTTTGCAGCTAGGAGCCAAAAGTTGCGGGATCGGTCGTCCGTTTCGAGTGAGATCACAGTCCTCCGAAAATGGGCATTTAGGGGAATGGGTAGGGGAGTGGTCCGGGGCAGAAATTCAAATCCGAAACATTAACCGCGGCCTGGTACGCCGGGGGGCGGCTGAACTGTTTGCGGAGAGCCGCACTGCGCCAGAGGACGCTGTTTGGTGCCAGAGGGCACTAGGTCGGTCGGAAACAACATACCGCCTTGCGCCAAAGGACGCTGTCAGTGTGTGGTGTGTCTGTGTAGTTGTTGTTGTTGTGAGTCTCTTGTTTCGCGGAGAGCCGCGGTGCGCCAGAGGACGCTATCAAGAGTTCCCTTTGTTGCCGCCCTATTAGCTTACCGCGAACCGAACTCTCGCTCATACACGGGCTGGCAACAGCCACGCACTTTTTGGGCGACTGGTGGCTTCGCGGACGTCCCGATTCCTGGACTGCAGAACGGCCAGAACGCTGACAACGCCGGCCTCGGCTGGTGCCCCAGAGAGCTGCCAGCGTCCCATGTGCGAGATGTCTGGGAGACTGTGCGTGGTTGCAGACTTCTGCAAGTCATCCAGAATGCGAAATTGCACTGCCAATTGCACCCTGCTACTCTTTGAGTGCCAAGCTCCTGTGTGTGCAGCAAGGCATCCTGGAGCGTGTTCTGGGACCCGGCCGCATCCCAGAAAAGCAAGCAGAAAGTGCCAAAAAATGCGCAGCTTCTGCACTTCTCCTTCTGCCAGTTGGGAGCTGGCACGTGCTCAAACTTGCTGTCTGGGCCGCAGACCACCAGCGTGCGCCATACCTTCTCGGCTGGGTAGCCTAGCCTTTGCGTCATCACCATTGCTGTGACCCTTCTTAGGGCAAGTCAAGTGACCCCAGTAGACTCCCTCCAAATCCGCAAGTCTGGGCGTGGCATTGGCGCGACCGGGCTTTGTAAGCCAGTGATCCTGAGGAAGGCAGCGATTGGCACAAGGCTTGTTCAGGATTTGAGTCTGATGTGCTTCAAGTGTTGCGTCTGCTTGCCACACTTGCAGCAAAACACGCAGCCTGCTTTGGTGGGCCGCAACACATGACCTTGCCGCTCGGGCTCTGCGGCGCCATCCACTGGCTGCTGAAGCTGGCCTGCCTGGTCAGGCTGCTGCACTTTGGCGCCCTCCTGCGCTGCAGTCCAAAGTTGGGTGTGGTGCTGCCACACATTGACCAGGGCACGCTGTACATCTCAACTTGCATCTTTGAGATGTTCATGGAAGAGGCACAAGAGTCGTCTGCGGGAAACAAATGGGCAAGCTGAGCAGATCAGCTGGGAGTTAGATGTTCATGGAAGAGGCACAAGAGTCGTCTGTTCCCGCAGATGGGCAAGCTGAGCAGATGAGCTGGGGGTGCTGTCAGAGCCGCCGCCCCCTCGGTCTGCAAAATACTGCATTCCCAAGAGATGTGATGATGTGACATCTGTGCGCCACATTGGCAGTAGACTGCGCCGATCTTTTTGCGACGGCGGTGATCCCGTTCTGGGTTCATTAGGCCACCTGTGAGCAGTAAGCGTAATTTTTTTAGGCGCGGTCTCGGGTCTTGCCCGTCGAGTGATGGTCCAGAACAGCGAACCCTGCAAGATGCTTGCATGGAACCAACTACCCCGAGCTGGCCAGGGCCCACCCCGGATGTCGCAACTGCCAAGTTTTCGTACAAGTTTTCATCACCGCGCGTGACATTAGGCGCGTTCGGCGCAGCATGAGTACAGAACGATGAACACAGACTCGCACTGGGTGCTTTCACGGCCCGCGCTAGCTTCTATCAATTTCTTGAAAGCAAGCAGTGTAGCGCTCCCCTTTCTTGAGAAAAAACTGCGGGCAGGTATAGTTGCGGTTGAACCACTCGAAACGCTTGCAAAGGGGAAGCAGTTAGTTGGTGCCTTAGAATAGGCTGCAGTAACCTAACAATGAGCTGCCGCCAGCGCGTTTGCAGACCTAGGTCCGCATGGTCGTCTTGCATCTTAGACGTCTGCGAACTGCAAGAGAAGCATTGCTGTCATCAGCTTCATTTGCAGGAGCTGCCGGACAATTCTGAATCATCCATTTCGCAAGGCTGTTCCTGGTAACTTGCTTTCCGCAAAATTTACACTGAGGATCCCGACTATTGGTCACAACATGCTGTTTCGTTT